GTTTCTTTAGAAAATTTCACTTTTTATTTTTCTATAGGAAATTTCAGTGTTTACAGTCAATTTCTACTTTTGCCAATGAAATATTAGCCTTCCAAAGAATGTCCAAAAATTTTTTCAGGCAACTTTTTCTAAAGAATAGAAAACTATTTGCAGTTATTACTATTCAACAACTAATAAAGAAATAAAAGAATTCTTAAATTTTTATCAAGATTTTATTAACAAAATTTGATATATTTATTAGTTTTTTTCTTGTTGCTTTTATTAAAGTATTTATTAATTTTATTATTAATTATGTCATTATTGGCAAATATTATTTGTTATTTATTTTAGTTTTACTTATTTTACAACTAAACTGTGTTCTTTTATTTTTAATTTCACAATGAAATTACACAGAAATGTTGAATATTAAAAAAATTAGTTATTGTTTTTTTTTTTTTTTTTTTTTTTTGAAAAAAAAGAATATTTCCTTATTAATTACCAAAAAACTGATTAAGTAGAAGATTTATGATTTATAAAAACAGTGCTTTTTAATTAATTTATGTGAAGTGTGGTTTGGTTTCTTCAATTTTTCTTTTTAACTTAAATAAATTGATAGATTCAGTTAAATAAACTTATTTTAAAAATTGATATAAAAATTTTATTTATTTTTGGTGTAAGCGTAAGTTTTTAGGTCCTGGTTCAGAAAATATTTCTTAGAAATTTTTCTATAGAAAAATTAACAGTTTTAAAATCACTTTATTGAAGAAATGTCAGAGTTCAGGCTAGTTTTTCTATAGTAAAATTAACAGATTTTGTATAACTTTTGCTATAGTTTTTTCTTGCTTTCCAAAGACCATTGTTGATTATAAACTTTAATTATTAATAAAAAATTTGTTAATATATTTTCTTTAATTTTAGTTAAGTGCCAATTCCAATTTTAATTTTTATTTTCTTGTATTATTTTTATTTTTTTCTCATTTTTTCGTTAGCATTTTTATTAGTTTTAAAGACAGTCTCAATTAAAATATTATTTTATTTAGATTATAGACGCATTACTTTCATTTGTCCAATTAGAAAAATAAATGATTATGTTGTTTATATATTAATGTTATTTAAAAAAAACTCATTTGTTTACCAATATATTTTTCAATTAAAATTTAATTGTATTAAATAGTTTAATAAAGCTTTACATAAAAAATAAAACTAATTTTATTTTTTCGCTTATCAAAATAAAGTTTTATAATTTTGTTGCAAGAACACATTTTTTAATAATTTCTTTGTTAATTGTTTATTTTAAATTTCTTTTGGTTTTTGTATTTTTTTATTTTTTTTATTTTTCAACAATTGAGTACAAAAAACATTTAGATATCTTATATACTTTAAATTTAGGTATTAATTAATAAATAAAGTTATGATTTTAAAAAAATATGTTAAATTTGGTTTAAATTATGTAAAATACATAAAAAACACATAGATTTATAAAGGTAGAAAAATAATTTCTTAATATGTATTATAATCCTAAATATTCAATTTATATTATTTGTATAAAATAAAACATTAAACATCAATTAATGCATTTGAAATATATTTGTTAGTATTAAGTTATTTAGTTTAAAGTTTTGTATTTTTTAATTTAAAGCTTTGACAAGGTTTGGTTAAAATATTTTTTTTTTTATTTTGATTCGGGTTAGTATTATTTGGAATTAATTTCCAAATAGTTTAACAATATTTCAACACTATTTATAACAAATTTTTGTATTTTAAACTTTATTAAACTTGGAATTTAAGTAATTGTATACTCTACAAACTTCAATATTATTAAAAATATTAGTACAGTTTTTAAAAAATATTATGAGTTGTGATAAATTTAAACATTTTTGTTTACATGAATGTAAGAAACTAGCAGATCATGTGTTTCCAAATTCTCCAAAATTTTAAATATTACTAGGTCAACAAAACGAAACTGATTGATTACACAAGATTGTTATAAATAGTGTTAATTACACAGGCCAACAAAATGGTTAACCCAGACACCAGTATGTACTTTTCTAAGAGCGTTATTCGTTCACCTAAAGATTGTCTCTTAAGGTTTGAGCTACATTGAATCCGAATCTCAGAATTTCTTTTTTGACAATAAATAAGACTTTCAGACGATATAACTAATTTTATAAATAAATGTCTTAAATATAGAGTGTTTGTTCAGTTTAGACTTAGATATCAGATTCTGATTCAGCATAGCTCAATCATTTAGTGAAGAAGACTAAAGCCCCTGGGTTTAATCGGCCTGTGTTGTTCAAATTAACTTATATTTATCTCTTGACTAATTCACAATTCCATTCAACATGTGTAATATGTTCAAAATTTCCGAAATATTATTGTAAATATCCTATAGATAAACAACAATTTGTTCTTTTGGTTAAAAAACATAATTTTATGTTCAAATATTTATATAAAATTCGAATTCAATACAAATTATTTTATGAAATTGTGAATTTTGTCACTTTTTTTATTCATTCACCATTTTACTTAATTTATCTTTTAATATAAACTACTCCTAATAAACCGACGACTATTAAAGCATTTTTATCTTTTATTTCAAAATATTTGAAATTTCAAATTTTGTTTTTAAATTTTTGAACATTTAAATACTGACTGGTTACATACTGGTTATGTACTAGAAAGAATATCATTAATAGATTTAAAGTTTGCCCAACCGTAAATAAAGATTATGAGACCTATTCTGAATAAAAATTTTCTGGGTATTTTTCACTACTTTAGATATAGGAGCAGGAATAAAATGTCTTATTCTTATTCAGAATAGAACTGTTTGTATAGAAATCAAATGCATATAGTCACGTTACTAATAGACAAAACTATAATCTAGAATATTGCCCTTTTCAAGGTCAAGGCATTAGGCAAGATTTTAGTCAAGACTATATATAAAAAATGTTGTTAATATTAGACAATGCTATAGTCAAAACTATTAACAAGACTATAGTTAATACTAGTCTATAGTTAGGACTATAGGGTCAAGACTATAGCCAAGATTATTTTCCAAATTATGGATGAGGCCATAGTCAAGTCTATAGAGTAGTCTATCGTCAAGATTATAAACAACACTTGTAGTCAAGAGTATTGTTAAAACTATAGACAGGACTATAATCTAGACTACACTCAAGTCTATAGCCAATATTATAATCAGTACTATAGACAAGATTATCGCCAACATTATAGTCGATACTATAGACAACCCTGTAGATAATACTATACACAAGTATATAGACAAGACTATAAATACGTCAATAGCAAATATGTATTATTGTATAGACTATACAAAAGAATATAGTCAGGACAGTAGTTTGGTCTACGGTATAAAGTAAAGTCAAGCCGACTATAATAACAACTATAGAAAAGACTATAGTTTACACTATATTAATAAATCTCCATCAGGTATAGTATGAATTTAAAAATGATGAAATAGTAATTAAAAAAATTACTGATTTATGTCATATATGTAAATTTAAATTAGTTTATTACATAGATTTCTATACAAATATTTCTTTATTCACCGGCCTATAAATTTTGACCAATTTTGTTTTGTTTTTAAATTTTAGAAAATTATAATTAAAATGAATTATTAGTTAATAGAGATACATATTTATAAAAGTTACACAAAACATACAACATATTGTTGCTTTTTTGTTTTGATCATACATTATAAATTTTAATTAATAAAATATACTTTAAACATAAAAAATATAGTATTTATTTGATCTAACAATTTATTATATTAAAACTTGTTCAAAAAAGAAATCATGTTTTATATTTTTGTTGGTATTTAAACTGTATCTCAAAAATTTACTTTCATGTACTTTATTTCTTTATAAATTGTGCGTATAAGAAGTTGCATTTCATTGATAGGTACTACGTTCCAATAACATAATTATTTTATAGGTTAATATTTTAAATCAAGGATCTTATATTAAGGTTATTCATGGAATTTGAAAAGAAATTAAACGTTTGTAAGAAAAGTATATAGCGCTCATTTACTAAAAGAATAAAAAAATATAAGCCGTTGTTATAAACACTTTGATCTAAATCTGGTTAAATTTTTCAAATTGAAATTGTAAAATGGCATAAAACATTCAAAACCATTTTTATCGAAACGTTCTATTTTGAATTATGTCAGTAAATGAGCGATATGTATTTGTATTAAACGTAAATTACCATTTGCTAATATGGATACGTATGAGTGATATTGAATAAAATCTAGTTTGTAGTAGGGTTCTATAAATCAACTTTCGAATAATCGAACAATCGACTTTTTGTCGAAAAAAGTCGAAAAGTCGAAGTCGACTATTTTGTTCCAAAAAAGTCGATAACTCGACTATCGTCTATGAAAAAAGTCGAAAAGTCGACTTTGTAAATAAAAGTCGAAAAGACAAAAAATCGGAAAGTCGAAAAAAGTCGAAAAAAGTTGAAAAGTCGAAAAAGGTCGATAAGTCGAATAAAGTCGAAAAAAGTCGGAAAAAGTCGGAAAAAGTCGAAAAGAGTCGAAAATTTAAAAAAAGTGGAAAAGAGGTCAAAATCTCTAAAATAGTCGGAAAAACTCGAAAAAAGTAAAAAAATAGTCGAAAATAGTCGAAATAAATCGAAAATAGTCAAAAAGTCGGAAAAAGTCAAAAAAAGTCGAAAAGTCGAAAAAAGTCGAAAAGTCGAAAAAAGTCGAAAAATGTCGAAAAATGTCGAAAAGTCGAAAAAAGTCGAAAAGTCGAAAAAGTCGGAAAAAGTCGAAAAGTCGAAAAAAGTCGAAAAGTCGGAAAAAGTCGAAAAGTCGAAAAGTCGACCATTTATAAAATACTAAAAGTCGAAAAGTCTAAAAGTCGACTTTTAAATAAATGAAAAAGGTCGAAAGGTCGAAAAATCGACTTTTCATAAAATGGAAAAAGTCGAAAGGTCGAAAAGTCGACTTTTAACTAAATGCAAAAAGTCGAAAAGTCGACTTTTTGTTTCAACTATAGAACCCTAGTTTGTAGTATATTTGTTATATAAAACACATACGTATGTGTAATATTTAAATTTTGCCTAATTATTTATACGAAGTTCACACTAGCAGTTAAATTATTTAATTCGGCCTCTGAATGACGATAACCAATTAACCCGTTTCTATGACGCATTCGTAATTCGTTTTGACAGTTCATCGCCATGTCGTTTTTTTTTTTCATTCATTATTTTATCATTTTTTGGAATATTAGTGTGTGTGTGTGTGTATGATACAAAAATACGTTTATTACATTATTTTAACAAATTAAGTTATATATTTTCTATTTATTTGCATTTTTTGTGATTTTATTAGAGATGACACTCATTCATTCGTAATTCGTACAGCTTGTGTAATTCGCAGCTGAAATTTTGTATGGCCAATCATGTCATTCAGAATGTAATTGGGGGTTGAATGGTGAATGAGAGCGTTAATTACGAATAATTGCATCATGTGAACGGTGTATTAGATCTTGTGTAAATAGAACTAAAATACCATTTTGGAATTTACAATTTAATTTCTATTACAAAAGATACAAATATTTATTAGCAATTAATTGAAACGAAAATCTGAATTGTATTAAGCAATTTTGGGAGAGGATTTATTTTCCATTATTTATTATGTCTCAAGATATCTTTTTTTAAAGGGATTTCAGTTTCCTAGGACCTTCTTGTATGACGTATTTCTATAATAAAGTGGCCTACGAGACACCATAATGTATAACCTTTTAGTATATTAGATTCCTTGATTATAATTTTCCGAGATAAACAGCGACCCTTTTTCACAAACTTTTTTTATTTTCACTTACATTCTAATAAACTTTTTATTCCTTTATTTAATATTGATAACATTCCAACTATTTTTCTTTTGTTTATAATGTCTATGTTAATTTGTGAAGTTTAACCCGAGTATAATTCTGTTTTATTTTATATTTGGCTTTGAAAATCTAATTCTCAAACTAGATTTTCTTAATATTTTTTATGTATTTTTTGTCTAAAAATTCCGAGTTTGATTTAAATAATTAATAAAGAAAAATAACATAAAAATATAAACATATTGTTTGTATACCCCCCCACCTTTAATTCCAAATTTAAAATGTTTGGGAGTAATCCAGAAAGACAAATCCACACCACTTGTCAGATGTATCGCAATGTATATCAATCTTGTTTTAGATCCAGATTGTAGCAGTGAGATATTTCAATAGGTCACCTGTTTGTTTATATTTTTCTAAGTTGTGTATGAAAATAGCTATTAAAATCGGTCTTACTTTTCGAAATTGGAAATTTAAAATTTCCACATTGAAAACTCTTCTCTTTCAAGTTGTAAGTTGCATACTACAATAATTTTAGGATCCATTTAAAACTTTGCTGTAATGGTCACAACTATAACTGAAGAATTTTGACCTTCAAATCATTATGTAATTAATGAGGCCTGATACGGCAGTATCACTTAAATCTTTATAAAACTAAGTTTTACCGATTTTTGTTGAAATACTAGAACATTTAACATAATTATGAGCTCAAAAGCCCAATTCGGGGTATGGTTGTAGAGAGGCTTGACGAAATATGGGACCGATTTTAACCATTTACAATAGGCTTTGTTCCATCCCTACAATAGTGGTATAGTTTAGAAAAATATTGCGTAAACAGTAAATGGTGGAGGGGTATTAAAATCAATAACTCTTTTCCACTAACCTATTTCATTAACTTTCCGTTTCCTACTTATATACGTAAATATTCTTTATAATTTATTTAATTTAGAAAAATATTCATTCATATTTAATAATAGTAGAGTTAACATTGCACATTTGTACAAGATTAATTTTGTAGCGTACTTACAATAATATATACCAAGGACCAATTTGAATTTGATTAAGTTATATCACAAGATAAATTAATAATCATTTAATAGATAAATTTAAAATATATAATAAAAATATCTGAAGTTATGTTTGGTATCAGTTTTTCTCTGTTTTAGTAATACATATTATGTAATTTAATAACTTTAATAATCACGAAATAATTTTTTATTAATTATTTTTCCTTGTTTTGTTTATGTTTAAGTGTAAAGTATAAAAAACAGTATGGACTAATTTGTTTATCTAAATAGTTATTTTTTTTTTTTTTTGTTTTGTTGTAATTTCCTTTAAGTTTGTTTCATATATAAAAAATTATGTTTAGTATTGAATTATTTTAATAATGTTATTTTTTAATTTTTGGTTACCAAAAAAATATTTAATTAATTATACTTAATAAATATGTGCGCGTAGTATTTTAAAAGTTAAAGTGACGAAAAAATTACAAGCTAAATTTTGTGTTTGTGGTTTATTAAATTGTTTTTTACCAGAGTACTCTATACTCAAATTTGGATATTAAAAAATACCAGGACTTTATAGGCTATTTGGATATAATTTGAATTTAACAAATTTTTTAAATAAATTGGACTTGCCAACAAAACAAATTCATATAGTTTAGTTTATAGTATTATAACACAAATATTCACATGAATAGTGTGAATAAATTTCAAATCATTCTAAAAATTGAATTATATCCATTTAGTTTAAAATCCTTATGATAGCGTCTCTGGTTTATACAAAACTACATATATGTATTTTGTTTTGTAGAATTATTTTTTTAAAATTCACATATTTCTTAAAGAATTTTACCAAGTTGTTATTTTAACTATTATAGTTTTTGTGTAAAAATTACAAATACAATATTGTTGTACAAATTATTTGCACTTACCAAAGTTTTTCTTTGTGTTTTTTGTTTAATAAACAAAGTTTTTTGTTGTTGACCAAAAAATATACTTATATGTATTAGAAAATATTTTGAATTGGAATTTTGTGTAGTAATTGTATTGTTCCTTTACACAAATTCCAATTCAAGACCAGTCTCTATATCAACAGCAACCACATCAGCTTTTGACGTTACTGTACCACTTTCATTTTCTTCCTCCACGTCGTCGTCTTTGGACTTTTTCAATTTGGACTTATCTTTCGTTGTGGCAAATGAGACCAATAGGCCTAGACCACTGCCACGTCGAGAAGATTGTCCCAACTGTTCGAATCAGGAATCCACCAAAACATGCCAACGTGCCAAAAGTTCCCCCTTCGCCATGTCGCGCATATCCACCCAGTGCGCCACTTCTTCTGGTCCGGATGAGTTTAGGCCCAGACTAAACCAACCGACCATTTCGTTTTTCTTCATATTACGCTTGGCGTAAACCGAAACCATTAACGTAACATCGTTAAGTTGAAACAAGGCCACCTGTTATGGGTAAATATCAAATTTAATTATACAATAGTTGCCAAAAAAAAAAACAGTTAAAACATACCTGAAATACAAATGTCTCTTTAAACAGAGGATTTGGTTGACCACGTCTCGTTGAGGTTTTTGCTCTTGAGATCTCTTGTCCTATACTACTAACTAAACATAACTTAACATATGTATCCGGTGCCTTGTTTAAATTTAAACTACGAAAATGACTGCCTTTAACAATTTCAACCGTTAAACGTCCAGTGGTACCGTTATATCCTAAACCTAAAAGTAGCTCGGGTACACCTCCATGTTGCATTGAAGTGGTCGAGCCGGCACTATCGGAACGAGCTAAACTTAATAGATCACTGGATGATCCCAATATCTATATAAAAAGACAAAAATATAATTATATAAATAACTAATCAAAAATATATCAAAACTAACCGATGATGTATTTCGTGGCTCCAGTGGCAGCCATAGATTTGTTTCCAATTCTAAATCTATGGTAGCAAAGCTTACATAAGCCTCACCAATCAGTCGTTCTTTGCGTAAACGTTCGCAACCGTACAGTCGCACACGTAAACCCATATTGTTAACTTCTTCCGGCGTAACACGATGCAGCAGAAAACTCTCCATATATTGAGGATTTTCTCCTGAACGTATTTTGGTCTTGTGTTTTTGTTTCTTATTCGGTAGCATTAGAAGACGTACTTGGGTATGCGTTTGTTGGCCACTGCCCAAAGTGGGCAAGCCGCGGGCTTGCAAAACATGAACTGTCATCTTACGCATGGGAGCATCGTATAAAAGAGATATTTCAACACTACCGGATTTGCCATAGCATTGTGTTTGCATAGAAATATCATCGGATTTAATGGATCTTAAATCGCTGGTATCAAATAAGGGTTCCTGCAATAGAGAATGATTTAAGGAGATTAAAATAATTAAAAAAGTCCATTAAAACACTTACATCTTCATTGTTGTTATTATTACACTGAATATTGGGTACATCTTCCAAACTATCTTGACGTGGCGGGGTGGTAATATTCGATGAGCTATTAATCTTTTGATATTTATTCGTTTTAGTAGTTGTATCAGTATTTAGCTCTATACGAGATTCTCTTATAGAAGTGCTATTAGAAATATCGGAAGTTTTGCTTATAGAGGGATGTCGTTCTGAAATAATTAAATAAAAATTATTTAATATATTTAAATAAAAACTTTAATTTCTAACAAAACTTTATTCACCTTTCTTTTCACCAGTTAATATACCCGTATGACTGTCAATTGATGCTTCTACCGAATCATTAGAACTGCACTCACTATGCGATGAAGGTACGCCAACCTTACCCCTTTCCGCAATAGCTAAAGGATCTCTAGAGGTATCGCGTGGTGCTACAGTTACACGTTGCAGGTCACTATTAAAATAGTTAAAATTTTGCGACAATGGATTTAATTGATTTATTCCATAGTTTGTATAGTTTCCATTGCCATTATTAGAAGCTATGCGAGCCTGTTGTAAGCGTAATCTTCTTAAAATATCTTCCTCTGAATCAGAACTTGTATTATCATAGCGACGTTTTCGGGCTGTAAAAAACCATACTCCTTCAATTAAAATATTAATTGTGTTTTCATAGAAAGTACTTACATAACTTTTGTACACATTTTGATGCCAAATGTTTCTCATCGCAACAGTGAAGTCCACGTCGGGTATGAAAGCACCATTTACGATTTACATATAGAAAAAATAATAGCATTAACGCTATCACACCAAATAGGGCTGACAAAACTGTAGTAATCTCAACGGTTCCTGTTATAATTTTGAAAATATAATGGTTAATTTGATTAGATCTGAATAAGCAAAATTATAATGTTATTGAAAATAGTGATTATTATTCATTATTCCATATATATGTCACCCGAAATAGGACATTGGTGGATATACATTTATTTTAAATACACATACAATAGGGTGATCTCTTTGTATGGAGAAATAGTATTGTTTTGATGTTCCCACCGAAAATTAAACGTTAGTTTGTTTTATAATACCATTTCTCAATTTTTTTTTGTCCTGGGGACTATATTTATCTCTTAAAGGAACATCCAAGGAATGTCTCTGCAGTATAATTGTAACCGCAAAGATCCGCCGAAATCGATTTTTTTCAATTTTAATAAAATGTAATTTGGGGAAATTTATTACTAAATCCTATTATAACAGGAAAAATATATATGGTAGAAATTTTTAAACTTCATAGCTAGTTTCAGAGAATCCAAAGCCACATAAAAGCAATGAAAACTTTGTTAAAAAACAAGTTTTTTAATTATTTGATTCATATATCTGGACCCTCGATACGTCGAAAATAGGTAATACAGATCTTTTAAATGATTTTCTTTGGATTCAAAGACTTCAAATAATTTTGTCCACCTAGATTTTAGTTTGGAATCACATTTACTCTTTGAGGCAAGATCTTCAAGATCAAAATCGCGAAAAACGCAAAAAAATAGGCGTATACTTAATATTTGTAATATCAATAAATCACTAACACGTATACGTACGAATGTCTTTAATAAACGCAGTGTAAGTTCACAATGTAAACCTTTTCCCTTGAAATGTTCTTTATGATAACCTTGGCACAGAGAGTAAATCAAAATTCAGAACAGTTTGCAAGATTGAGCCTTAGAAACTGATCACTTTTTTGCAAAAATGACACCGAGGACAAAATCTTTGGAAACCCCTAAAAAAAGTGCGCGATTTTGGGCAAAACCGGAAGACATGGGTTTTTTTGACTTTTATCACGTACTGGTGTCCGTATATGGTTATATTCCCATGACTTAAAAAATTACACACAGTGTTATTAATGAACTTGAAACGAAACTTAAGACTGTTTTGTGTGACTCGACCCATATTTTCAGATATATTTTTGAAAATACATACATAATTCCAAATTAAAGCGCTCGTCTAAAAAGAACTATTATCGGTTTAGGGTATCGTCTACATACATATGTATAAGGGTGATCGACTCGGGTTTTCAACCGGTTTTAAAACCGGTTTTTTCTGGTTTACCAGTGTCGGTTTTTTCTAAATGTTGATTTTTCGAATATCGAATAATCCGTTTTTTTTTACTTTTTAATAACCGGTTTCGAATACTTTTATTTGCCTTGTATTCAAAGATTACTTAAAATAAATTTTGAAGTAAATAAAAAATACAGCCCGTCTAAATTTTACAAATATTGGAGTACAGGAACTAGAGTATATTTTTCAAAAGCACCTTTCGTTAAACTTTTTTGATTTTCCTAATTAATTAACAAATTTTAATTGGAATAACTGTTTGATAAAATTTTATCAATGTTAAGATTCCTATTACAATCATTAATTTTAGGCTGAATATAATGGAAGTGTTGGAATGCCTATAAAAATTGCCTAAACAGGGATTTTAGAATAAGCTAGGGTTACTAGTTCCTTATGTTTAACAGAAGTGTCCCACTTTTTTCCTAATTTTTTTACATTAAAGAAATAATGTAAATCTGACTACTAGATCTAAAGTTATAATCTTTTAAAATGTTAAAAATCCGTTCGGGCCATGTTTTATTAATCAAATTTATGTTTAACCTTAATTTTTTCAAATGAAAATACATTTTTTTATTTATAATGAAAAACAGGTTAACCGGGTTTTTCTCAATTTAAAAATTATCAACCTTTTTTTTTTCAAATGTTAACTATTCGAAACCCGTTTTTTGGAAAATGTCGAATAATCGATCACCCTAATATGTATGTATTAAATATACAAAGATATTGCAAAGAATAAAAATATAAAAACCCTTCAATAATATGACCTATATTAACCTTTTGTATATACACATGTATGAACTTAACAAAAATACTCAGCAAAAACTTACGTTGAAAAATAATGAGAAGGAAGAGGTAGTCAATCGTCCCTGTATAGATTAAAAAGAGGCAGTCAGAAAGGTAATTTAAAGAGTCAGTACATTTCACTTAAGTTTTTTTAGTGTAACTCTCTAAATTACTTGCGGACAGAAAAGTGACGACTGTATTTTCTTTAATTTACAAAAAGTATATTCGTGGCGTAAAAGACGAATCAGAGCCAGGTAGTTAGTTAGACGTTAATGGAAATATTTTTGGACAATGAGTATTTAAACTACTTTTGACTATTACACACTGGCATTTTAACTGTCGAACTTACAACACTACTTCTAAGTTATTCGAATATGTAGTAGTCAGTGAAAAATAATTTGCTGTGTAAGTACAAACTATTACCAAGATTTTGCTGGGTATATACAATTTCAATTTGTTTCTCATGACTCATATGGAAAAACTAAAACAGGTGTAAATGAGAGTGTGAATGTGTATGTCTGCTAGAAATACTTAATAAAACGGTTAAATTATACATATTTATCGTTAATTATTAATGAACTTGAAACCAAACAGTCTTTCTGTTAGCTTTTTCGTTTCTTACCCTCTGTGCCATGTTTTTTGTTTTTATTGTTGTTATGGATTTAATATTTGACATTGAAAGTTTGTATTACATAGTTGTTGTCATATGTATTAATGACATTAAAACACGATTTTTAATGTAAATGAATTCGTAGATACATACATATGTATGTATGTTTGTTTAAATGTCTTTTTAAATTGGATTTTCCCTTTACGCCACAAATTTGTGACCATATTGCAAATAATAAAAATGTGTAATGCATTTTATTTTATAGAATGGAAATTTTTATTACATATACTTGGAAATAAAACAAAAGTATGGTACTTTAGATACAATAACTTTTAAGAAAAGAACATCATTATTATAATCCCTAAAGGATATAAGTTACGACAATTGGATTGGTTCCTTTTTATATAATCCAATATTCCATGAAAGCATAACTGACAAAATAAAAACCCTCAGGATAAAATGTGCTTTAATTTCAGAAAAACACCTCAACGTCAATAATGTTCAAAAGAAAATTTTAAAATCCGACAACAATTAAAAATCCGTTTTTTATTTTGTGAACTTTTTGTAATTTTGTCGCACCGTGTAATAATATATTCAAATTTTTTAAGTCAATTCATGTTATATTATTGAGATTCTTAAAAAGCAAAAAAATCTACTATGTATTTACAAATTACCCAAGCTTTTCTACTTACCATTTAAAGCGTAATTTTCCACATTCGAAGTAACTATCATTTCCGAATTTGTATTTTAAATACAGTTAATACGTAGTAACACCTTTTATTCAACACTAGAAATATTACAAAAACAAATATTTACTTGTTACATGAATTATGTATGTATGTACAGTTGTATATGTAGTAACTTTCAAATTTAAACCCAAACAAATGCGGCGTATAAAAAATCAAAACAAACAAACAAGAATCACATTTCAAACAACAAAAGTGAAAACAAATGCGTACGTAAAAAGCTCTTTCTTCTTAGAACTTTAATGTAAAAAAGAAAGTGAAAGTTAAAAAGGATAATAAACAGGATGGTGAATAAAATCGATTTTTCACATATTTGCATGGGGAATTTTAAATGAAATTTAAAAATTTTTATTTTTCTATAAGACAGATATTTTGTATTACCTTGTTTTTGCAGCATACAAAATATGAATTCTATACTTTTTAGTTATTTTCTTTTTAAACTTTTTGCACGAATATTTCAATAAATATCATTTTTATTTGGTAAATAAAAATACTTTTATAGTATCTATTAATCTGGTTCTAAGTGTTTAAAACTTTTACTTTTTGCACGTAACATTTGTTATGATTTTATGTAGCTATTTTAATTTTATCTTTAAAACATTTCAGTTTTAACTAATAAATTTTCACTTTTTATAAAAACTTAAAAAATATATTTGTTTTTACATTATTTAAACTAAAAACTTTAAAAATTGTGTATGAATATATATTTTTATTTTTTTTTTTATTATGAACCGTACTCTAAAATAATGTATCTACGTGTGACTCAGTTAATGTCATACAAGTCCTTATTATCTTTGTGTCTAAAGAAAGCTTTGCGTTAAAAAAAAAATTAAAAGCTTTCCCTTGTGAGAGAAAGTAATGTCAAATATTGACACAATTTATTGGACAACTGTTGCTTTGTCCTGTAAGGGCGCACATGCCAATCTGTGATGGCTGTTAAAACTGCGGTTACAGCAATAATAACCTAATTCTAAAAAAATAAAAATTAAATTTCTGCGGTTAAATTTTGCGACCCTATATATCACCTGAAGATATCTTTAGGTAATATGTATTTCAAAAGAAACGTGTTCTTAAGACCTTCATGATATTCATAATGACTGGGAAAAGAACTATGTGTTAAGATATCTTCTGAGATATCTTAGGTAGACCGAAACTGAAAATTTTAATTTTAAAATTTTTTGTCGGGATGAAAATTTTAAAATTTTTTTCATCTCCAAATTGACTGACCGTATTTGAGTATACTTATTACAACTAATCTCATATTATTCATACGTACTGTGGTAAATGAGGATATTTGATTTAAGATCAAACATCTTGACTTTCTAAGCATCAGGTCCAAGCGCCTAATATATTTGTTAAATATACTCATAACCAGGGAAATTAAAAATATGCTCAAAAAAGTGCTTTAAGTGCTTAAATTATGCAGTAAAAAACTAAAAATATGCTCTTAAAATTAAAAAAAATATGCTAAAAATTGTTTTAATTACTTTTTTCAAATTTAAAAGATCAAAAAGACTGAAAATGTAATTGGTTTTGATAATTGATTCAACTCATTGTTTGAGGAACTAGTTTAATAGGATTCCGTGTTACGTTTAGGTAATCAATAAACAATACGAGCCACATTTGGTCCCAAAAAGAACTAATTTCAAAGTTTTTTAATGTACAAAAATTCATTGGTCTCCTGAAAACCAAAGTTATAATATAATGCTTTAAGCTACATCATTGGATTTCATGAGACTAATGTATTTTTTGCCGTTTTTACGCTTTACAAACGAAAATGTAAAACAGACAATCAAACTTCAATAGAAAAATTAAACAAGATTATTTAAGAAGAGGCTCTTACGGATAACTACGAATAAACTAAAATGAAATAAATTTCATCAACAATGAAAGAAAAAATTTAAAAAATAAACAAAAACTTAAAATTTTGATATTTAAAACAGTAATAGTTTTAAAAAAACATTAAAAGAAAGATCAAAATGACGAGTGGTGTCTAACTTGCAGCTTGTAAAGCGCGAAAAGTTTGAAAAGCGTTGCCGCCTCAACGCGTGTTTATGAAAAGCTTTTAAGTATTATAAATTTGTTAACTGTTTTGTTTAGTATATAGTATATAGTATATTGTATATATTTAAAATTATTTTTTTTTTCGAATATAACTTCAAATTTTCGAAAGAAATTTTGAAAATTTGAACATTACATTATATTGTTATCTGATGCATATACATATATACTCCAAATTTCAATATATTTGCGCTACTGGAAGAGTCGTAAAATTCAGTTAAAATTTTCGAAAACATACTAACATAACTCCGAATTTTCGAAATTAATTCCGATGGCATTGTATTCAGGTGTCTTTAACAAACTAACAAAGCAAGTTAAATAAAAGCTTTTAAAAATTAATTTATTTAATTTTTTTATATTTAAAAATAAATTTTTGAAAAACAATGTACAAAAATGTAAAATTAAGGCACACAATTATGCTCTTATGGGTAAAATATGCTCTAACAAATCAATCCAAAATTGTTAAATTTGTCTGGAACGTGTTTTTTTTTCATTTAATGAAAAGTAAACTTTTTGTGTTTTATGAAAATTAGACTTTAGAACTTTATTCCAACTTTTCGACTCTTCAACTTTTTCGACTTTTTTTATTTTTGTCGACTTTTATTTGCAAAATCGATTCTTTGACTTTCACTTACAGATAGTCGACTCTTCAACTTTGTTAAGACATAAAAGTCGACTTCAACTTTTCGACTTTTCCGACATATATCGATTCTTCGAAATTAGTAAGCAGAAGTGTGAAAAGTTTTCATTCTCCGGTTATTGTTTAACCGGTAGATGTTCTGCCGGTTAAAATATTTTTTGTATGAAAACTGTCAAAATATCGTTTCTATAAAAAATAACAAGACATTGAGAAAATGGGGGTTAATCTTTTTAAATGAATGATGAATTTAATATTATTGAAAATTTATTTATTACATTACAAAAGTATTCATATTTTTACAATAAGAATTTGAAAACTAAATTGTTTCCACTGTATTATTACTTTAAAAATACAACACTGTGTTTTATTGACATGCTCACATTTTAGCGCGCTGTCAAAATTGAATTAAAATCAACCGTCAAAACACGCGTTTTCTTGTTCTTTTTTGCTTCTCATTATTTTGTTGTATCTTTTGTCTTGTTCACAAGTTGTGGAATTCTTCTTCAATAAGCGTGCCGGCATTTTTTTTCTCGCAAAGAAAAAAATACAGAAAAGCAGTGAAATTATTACAATTTACACAAATATAAATTTAGAAAATATTTATATATTAAAATAACTCAACAAAATGTTTTGGGGTAAGTAATTATTTATGAAAACAACATTTTTTAAAGCCAACTCTAACCCCCACCACGTGTTGAGCACACTAGTCAGTTTCATCAAATATTAATGTTTTATTTTAATTAGGACTTAATTTGAAACCTAACCGTAAATATTCGCAAACAACGGAAAAATCCTTCCACATATCGCAAGCGGCTTTAGATTCTGAATCCTCCCAAGGTGGTCCAACACAGATTTTCATTAGCAGTGAAAATCAACGGTTTTTGGTGTGTACTTTGCGTAAAGATGTCTGTGAACAAGTAATGTTAGATTTGAACTTCAGCGAAGGAAATGAAATATGCTTCCAAAGCATTGGTAAGTCGAAAAAATTGTTATAAAGTAGAATTTATTGTAGACTAGAGTGTGTGTTTTGTTTACTTACTTAATGTTTAGGTAGCGGCAATGTAACTTTGTCCGGCTATGTGATGGAAGATATGGCTGATGATTTCATGAATGGTGATGAGGAAGAAGAGGAAGATGTTGAGTCTGGCTCTGAAACTGAGGAAGTTGATTTACGCAATGCTTTGAATGCCAAGAAAGCTAAAAATAAGAAGGCCGAAAAGGGAAAAGCAGCTGCTAAGGCCGCCAAGGGTGCTGCTGATGAAGAGGACGAAGATGATGAAGAAGATGACAGCGATTTCGATATGGAAAACGACGATGATGATGAAGAAGATGCCGAAGGCGAAGAAGATGAAAACGACGAAGAAGATGATGATGAAGACGACGATGAAGAAGAGGAAGATGATGAAGAAGATGAATCCGAAGACGAGGAAGTTCAACAACCTAAGGCTAAACAGGCCAAGTTGGAAAAACCAGAAAAACAACAGAACGGCGTTGCCAAACAAAAGGAACAACAAGCTGAAAAGAAGTCAAAGAAGGAGTTGAAAAAGGAAAAACAACAGCAACAACAAAAGGCACAACAAGAAAAGCCACAAAAAGCAGGCGGTGAACGTGTGTTGTCCGGTGGCGTCAAAGTTGTAGATCTACGCGTTGGTAGCGGCCCTGAGGCCAAACCTGGCAAACGCACACAAGTTTTCTATGAAGGACGTTTATTGTCGAACAACAAAGTCTTCGATAGTCTAAAGTCTGGCGCTGGCTTTAAATTCAGTTTGGGGCGCGGTGAAGTCATCAAGGGTTGGGATGTAGGTGTAGTAGGCATGAAAGTTGGTGGAAAACGTCGCATTACTTGTCCTCCTCATATGGCTTATGGCTCTCGTGGATCTCCACCAGCCATTCCACCAAACAGTACATTGGTCTTTGAAGTTGAACTCAAGGGTGTCAACTAAAAGAAGTTCTTCTAACTTGAAACAAAACATATTTTTAATGAAATTATCTCTAAGTAATTCCATAGTGAGTTTTTTTTTTACATAAAACCAACCATGCCCTTTGATACATTTTAATTTAGCATTAACAATGAACAAAGAAAAACACTTCATTTAGTCATTTATTTAGAGTTTTGTTTGCGGCTCTTCATACGTAAGGATAAATTGTGAAATTACATTTTATAAATTATCCTTTTTAGTCTGGATTTTGCAACCGTAGCTTTTTAATACAAATCAATTTATTAAAATCTTTATATTAAATTTTCTTGAACCAATTGTTTTACTTTTGGCCAAACTAATTTTTTCTTGTTATCCTTAAAAAAGTTTTATTTTTTTCATACTTAAGTCTTTAAGGATTTGTTTTCTTTTGAGATCATTTTCTGTTCTAGTTATTTACTTATTGTTTAAATAAATACTTAAAAATAAAAATAGATAAAAAACGTCTTTTATTTTCTTCATAATTTCCTAATTTTGACCATCTGTTTAAGATTGTATGTAAGGAATCACAATACATAAATGTCTGAAGAGATTTTCGTTGTATGTAAATATGATTATTTTAAGGGATTAATTTTGATGATACACAGGAAAGAAAAATTTAAAAACTAATTTTGAATTCCTTGTAAAATGTTCATACCAAATATCATTTCACCCCTTGTGTGTTTAATACTGAAATGAAAAGAATGTTTACAATCCTAAGCTCAAAATTAAAGGAACTATCAACCCTTAAAAAAGTAATTAATATACAATTCCGTTTAGGGCTCTTAGTTTATACCAGTCCTTGAACCCGGCATCAAGCCTGTTACCCAAAATTTACGATATTAATAGAAAAATAATTTTTTAAGTTAAGTTGTACATAAGTATACATATATAGAAATCTACTTTGTGAACTAAAAGTCTTACTCAGATTTTAAAAAATGTTTCTATAGTTTTAAAACATTTTTTGATTTTTTCATATGATTAACCATTGCCCACTGTTTCTCTCACGTCATTTACTTTACGTTACGTCATTGCATAACAAATGTCAAAGTCAGCTGTCAACTGTAATTCAGAAATTAGTGAAAATATATTTTATTTTAATAAATATTAATTAAAATGTTGAAAAATTTATGTGTACAACAAATAAATTTATTAAAAACATGTGCAACATTGCAGCAACAAGTGAGAGTAAGTAGAAAAAACAGATATAATAAAAACAATAATTCATTACAAGACAGTAAACACATGCTCTCATTTTTATCCGCCATTTAGACCACTTTCATACTGAAACGTAAATATGATCCACCACTACATAAAGCCAACCAAAAGCCCAAGAAAATGCGTGGAAGACATCACATTTACGAATTGGTGGAAGATACAAATACTAAAAAACAAAAGGAAATCGAAGTAGTGTTGAAGACCTTCGTAGAGGGTGTGGGCGGTAAGGGAGAAGTAATCTCTTTAAAACCAAACTTTGCGTACAACAAACTGCTATTACCCGGTTTGGCTGTGTATAAAACCGAGGAAAATGTTGCCAAATATGGTAAAAAGGATAATGAAAAAGTTGATTTGGAGCACAGTTCACCATTTGCACAGAGGGTAAGTAAGCAGGCAATAGATATGAAATGTTTTATAATTCAAATAAGCAATTAATATTTATTAAAAATCTTTTTATCAACCTCTTCTTCAGACCGTAAATATGTTGGAGCGTTTAAATTTGGCCGTTGTTATGAATAAAGATCATCCCTGGGTCATTGAACCTTGGCATATTAAAGCTTCTCTCCGCAAGGCCGGTTATATTTGTGAAGAAGAATGCATTAGCATTCCCAAAGAACCTATTGAAGGTCCCGATCTAAATAAGGAAAATAAAGAATTCTATTGTACGGTAACCATTAACAATTTGGAAAAAGCACGTGTTAAATGTCGTATACACCATTGGAGCACAGATCCTAGTGAACGTTTACCATATGTTTTTGAACACTGGAAAATGCCGTCTGAACCTTTAATGGGTTCAACAGCTGACGGAGAAGGTGATGATGCCAAGAAACAAGTATAAAAAGTGTTAATATCAGAATTGTTGAAAGTGTTTTTAATAAAAAAGAAATGTTAAATGTTTCGAACAAAGAAATCTTCAATCAAGACTCAATTATATGGTATCAAGACTGTAACAGGTAATATTTTGCTTAGTATCACAAATTTACTAAAACAAGATTTAAACTGTTTCAAATGAAAATTGATTATATTTAGAAGTTTTATTAGTATGTAGTACATACATATTATGTACATATAGCTGAGTGGGGTTGGGTTGTTTATTTATATAGATCACTTTGTACCACATCGAAATATTGGTCGTAGACCCTCAAAAGAGTCTGTATTCATTACACATTATACATAAGTTTTTCATGTTATGTTATGAGAATTGACAATTCTACATTTATTTATTTTTTATCTTTATTTTATTTTACAAAGATTTTTTGTTTATAAATGAGAAAAATATGTAATATGATAGGGTCCAATATGAGCAGTTGGTCATAAAATTTGGTGTAGTTTATATTTATTTTCCAGCTGCATATTTCTATCAAATTCCATGGTGATACTAGTGTTTATAAGTGCATTATGGACTTTCAAATATATTTTGATGGGGGCAATGGTCAAATTAGAGCCGATTATTGTGAATAATCGCAATGTCAATTAGGCTTGTATATATGTAGATTTTTGTAGAGATACTCAGAATATAATAATAAACCGACTAGTATACTTTAAGGTGGGTATAGAAACAATAAGTTTGTACGTTACAAATTTTAGTACAAACGGTATAGGGTATAATAATCACAAATTATAATAATTATTATTTTTTATTTTATATTTTTATAATTAAATATCACTGGTTTTCGTTAATTTAAGTATTTTATAGTGGAACAAATTTTTGAAGAAAATTATTGTAATAATCTCATATTTGTCATAAAATTAAATGTTGATACATTTAATAACTGTTTTAACTATATTTTCCTAATTAAAACAAATATTACATTTAATATTTACTTCCTTAGAAAAGGAATTGTCATACATTTATTTTTATTTATTTTTTATTAAAATACAAAACATGCATAAATAATTTTAAGTCCAACTCAAAGTAAAATATTTACAATGAAACACAATTTCAAATAAAAAATGCACAGCAATATTTATGGGCGAAGATTTTGTAATATCCAATCAATATAATTACCAACACGTGTGTAGACACCAGGCCAGCCCTCTAAACCACATGGTGTAGGGCCAAAAGATACAACACCAGCTAGGAAATAGTAAGCACGAATCCTACGTATTCATATGGAAAAGGATAACAATAAAGTAAATTGCTATAAAATATTAAATCGAAAAACAAACCTATTTGTAGTATCCAAACTAATAAGTGGACCACCGGAGTCACCACGACATGAATCAATACCTTCCTTACCGCCGGCACAAATTTGCGTATCCTCCAAAATAATATTCTGACGCATATAGACTGAACGACATTCGTCAATAGAGTAGCCTTCTACGGAGGCTTTAAGTTTTAGATTTGATACCGACTCTTTTTCGGTTTTACCCCATCCAGCAACATCCATTACTATACCATCAAATGCCGCCGTACGCAAATTACTATTTATCGGTAGACATATAGGTCTCACAAAGTCAGTATACGATATGCTTCGTTCTAAACGTAAGAGTGCTATATCGTTGACTTGATTTCTAGAACTGGGATTATATTGCGGATGTGGTATGGCCTGTTCGACTCTAATATCAAGATGTTCGGGAGCACAATCTCTTTCACCACGTACATCTATTTCACAATCTGGATTTGTTGTTGTATCCCATTCACCCAAACGGACGCCGGTCAAACGCCAATCGGTGGGTATAGCTTTGCCATTGACACAATGTGAGGCTGTTATTACGTAACGAGTGTTTATTAAGGAACCACCACAATGATGACCTTTAGCATTGTTGGCTGGAATTAATATGATATGTATGAGATATGTTTGGAGGTTTTATCTAAAATATTTCGTCCCTAGTCCCTTTATGTGAAAAATCTCTTACCTTTTGTATATTCAATTAATGCCATCCAGGGAAATTCATCAATTTTTGTTTTATTACCACCATAAATACGATTCGACAAAACATTACCACACTGACCGGGTTGTGGTAATAAATTATTAACATAATTTGGAGGAGGAGTTGGTGGCACAGTCTGCTGTGTAACCTGGCGATAACGATCGGGGCAACAAATCTGAAAAATAAATATTTGTATAATATCCATATGAATTAACAATTGGTGTATTTTATTCCGCTAAGCCGAATCTTATATACTCTACATCAACACGCGTGTCTTAAATTTAAAGTGTTTTTGAGAAGACCCTAAAGACGAACATTATCTTTATGGAATGTTCCTCTCGACATTTATAACAACGATTTACAAATTTATTAGATTAATGTTTAATGTTTGACTCTCAGTTTTCAAGATACATAAGTTTTATATAAGCCTTAATGACCTTGAGGCCCGAAATTGCGACCCAGCTATACAAGTGCAATTCAGAAAATTACTTTTACTTATAAACACTAATATCGCGATGAAATTTATTACAAATAAATTGTAGGTCAACATGAATCCTTCCATCAAACTTTATGGGGATCTGTTCATATTTGCATCTAACCCCCAAATAAAGCCTTTTTCAGAAAATTAGTTTTTCGTCAATAAATTGCTTAAATATATCGGAACCAATGTAAAATTCAAAATAAAAGCTTTATTATGAAACATAAAACACATATTTTTATGTGTAACTACTGTAGCGTATTATATGGTCGGTCACGCGTATTATGAGACTATTCATGAAACTTACCAAAACTTTGCCATTTTGATAACCACATTGACTGCGACTTAAATATAATCTATCAGCATCTCTTAAGGGAGAAGATACCAAAATATTATACAGATATTTACAATCTTCGAGTATTATACACAGAGCTCTCTCCCGGTTGGGTGTTATACAGCGACCAAAATTTGGTACATCAATCTCTTCATTTGGAAATATTATTTCTAAAATAAAAAATAAGAATTGTATAGTTAAAAAAAATGCAATTTATTAAGAATACTGCATAAATATCTCCTAAATAGTACCTCTAAAAATGCTTTTTAGGTTGAAATTCATTCATTATTTTACATTTTCAAATTAGGTTATTATTCTACATTTACAAGAAATTTTATTCAAAAGAAAAACAATGTTTGCGAATTTGTTTACAATTAAACACTCATTAACATTCCGATGTACAATTTTTTCACATCTCAATCAAATTTTTATACCCTACACCACTTTAGTGGGGAGGGTATATTGGGTTTATGCTGATGTTTGTAACACACAAAAATATTCGTCCTATCCCCACCTTAAAGTCATTTTCTGAGTCGATTAATTTTCAATATAATTGGATGAAATTTGGTACACGCTCTTATTTGGCCCAAGGACGAAACCTATTGAAAATGGTTAAAATCGGCCCATTATTCCACCTAGCCCCCATACAACAGAACATACAACAAAATTGTATCGGGATAGGTCCATATTTGCCCCTAGTCCCCATATAAACCCTCTTTCAGAAAATTGTTCGTCCATAAATTGCTTAAATGTATCGGAAACAAGGTTATACTGAAGATATATACTTTATTATGAAAAATAAATGAAGGTTAATATTCATAACTGGTATAGGGTATCATATGGTCGGCCACGCCCCACTATACTATCTTACTTATTTTTTTTTTTTTGGTTTGACAAAAATCCCCCTTTTTATTAAAAATTCTAGAGTCTAACTTAAAACCCATCTTCTATATGAGTAATGATTAACAAAAAACCAAAAAAAAAGCATGTATATAACTAATATTTTTATTGTGTTATTGTTTTTTTTTCATGCAAATATTTGTCATTTAAAAAAATACTAAAATTATTTTAAAACAAGTTTTTCTTTTTGGGAATTATATTTTTAACGCTGAACTAAACAAAATAACCTTGTTGTTTAATACAATTATTATTTTAAAAGCAAAATAAATTTGAACTTTTCAGAATATTTATATAGGAAATATAAACGATTATTATTTTACCTGGTTGTAGAATAAGATATCAATATTTTCTTCACATTAAATCAATTATTTTCTTTAAAAATAAATGGTTTTCATTCAAACAAACTTTCAAACTTTTCCTACGAACTTTTAAAATGTGAAATGTTTTTAATAGGAATCAAAGGAATAATCAAACTTCTTTGTTAGATCAGGCATTTAAATTTGTATACCGTCAAAAGTTATGGGGTTATTATGTTTATAATCCATCGGGTTATCGCTCGTTAAGTTTATATATACATTCATTTAAAAAGTTCTAAAACGATCTAAATATTCTATATAGATAAAGTCAGTAAATTATTTGAAAAATTATAGTATTAATATCAAATTCGCCAAAAACAATTTGTGGCGTACATTTATATATCAGTTTGTATATCTGTGTGTAAAGTTTGTGATAATTAGACATGTATTGAACATGGTTAAAATCGGTCTATAAATAATTAAACAATTACTAAAGTAATTTAAACCGATTTTTGAAGCCAAAAAAGTACTTAATGAACCCCAGTTAAAATTTATGTTTAAATTTTAAAGCAAGTTTAAAGTACATATTAAAAATCCAGAATCGCACCTAATAAAACATTATTTTATCACATACATATATAATTGATTATCAAAGCTTAAAATGAATATAATTTATTGAAGATCGGTGCATAACTGAACCGTGTTTACATATACATGAAAATACAAATAAATAACTTTTTCTCTCAACTAATATTATAAAAATAAAAACCAATAATTATAATTAGGTATTTTTAATTACAAAAAAAAAAAAAAAAATAAAATTAAAAAAAACTTACGTGCAAAAGTTGTAGTTTGTAAAATTAATATAATATAGATTATCATATAAAATCCTTTGATTAATGATGATTTTGCCATTGTGACCGTATATTGTATTTAAATAAAATTGATAAATTGATACAATATAATAAATAAAATTGTATTTTATTGATTATTGATTTTTGCTAAATTAAAAAAAGTAATTAATTGCGTTATTCTTTACACAAAAGTATTATTTTTTGTTCTCAGGTGAAATAAATAAAAATATTTATAATAAAATTCTCCATTAATTTGCTTAATTAATGACCAGTTAGTGAGCGGTGGTGTTTATTTTATTAATTTTTTCTTAATAAATTAATTATGCCATGGAGAAAAAACAATTTAATATAAAAAACTGAAAATTATTATTTCTTTTTTGTTATTGTTTTTGTTAATATTCTTTACAATATCCCGTTTATTAGTCTATTTGAGATTTTAGTTGTACTTTGTTGTTTTTGTTTTTTTATGATGCTGTTTTAACAAACCGTCTATGTTTTAGATCGTTTAAGCTTTTAATACAAACTGATCAGTGTGCCAAAGATTTGTTTATATTTTAGTCTCATGCCTATTGATCTTTTGTATATGTATGTATATGAACTTTTTTAAACATTTAACTACTGTTATTTTATTGTGGGATACTACTACTCATCTTTCAATGTTGCCAGACAAATGTGTAAATGTGATCACTTATGTATATTATTGGTATAAGGGATTATTAAAAAGACAAAGAATAAATCTTGATGTCATTTAAAATTTATTTTATTTTTACCCCCTCTTCATGGCCATTTCTAACCCACGACCTCCGTGCTACCAAACTAGTATAATACTACCAACTAATCAAGGGAGGCACCAAAGTAAAACATTTAAAATATGGCCAATAACGGTGGTTTTCTAAACTTTAGAATGTTATCTCGAAATTTTGAGGTCAGATTTAGCGCAGCTCAATCTTTCAGAAAAGTCTATTAAAGATAAAGTTATACCAAGATTTTACAGTTATATTTATTATATGTATATGCAAAATAACTAATTACATATTTTGTAATGTTCAATTTACATTGAAGATAGAAAATCCGTGTTTGTTATAAATAAATTCAATTATCTGGCTACATTTTCTTAATGAAACAAGAATTTCTCTCTATTTTTTATAATTTAACCCCTTGTGGTCATTTCTTATTCAAATTTATTATGTAAAATTTTCTATTCATATTTACATAGTTAAAAAAAATTGTATATAAGATTGTTTCGCTATTAAAAATAATTATCAAATTCTGTAAAGTTTGGTCAATAATTGACTCATATTAATATCGATATATATACACATGATATATACAATTCAGCTAGCAGCCACAAATGAGTTAATCGTAGTAATAACTCCGAAAAGATCGGTTCAAAAAGGTCTTTGTCCATCTTCTGAATTTAACTTTAAACGATACATTTAACAGTAAAGTTAAAAATTTACTGTTACTGTATTTTTAAGCTAATAAATGGGTAAATGATCCCTTTTCCCAATTTTTACAGAAAATTACATACTTTCCATTATTTTGTTCCTAATTTCCACAATTTCCATTTGCTAACTCAAGTTCACATATTCTTGAATATTATAGATTATGTTTTTTATCAATATCTATAAATCTGTTAAAAATCAATTTTCCCTTCGGTACCAAATTTTAGATTTTAAATGTGAAATGTCTTTAAAAGGCTGAGATTTTATTTATAATTTTTTGTTTAGAATTTTGGTTTTCTAGGTGTCTTGGTTTAACATCTTTTAATAGATTTTTTTAACAGTTATGAATTTTATTAAATGGCCTCCGTTAAGTTAGTGGTTAGTGTTCTAGTCTGGTAGACCGGAGGTGGTGGGTTCGATTCCCTGAGGCACTGGTTAAGGAGCACACATCAGCCCGATAGAAGCCTAGGTGTATTTCATCCTTTCAAACTAACTAACATGCATTTTAAAGTCATTTTCTGAAGCATAACTTATACATAAAGTGTATTTTAATTGCGAAAGCTCGTTGAATGCTACTAGTTCTTAATACTTTAACACTTACTGCAATTAGTCGTATACATTATATTAATTTTGCCAATAAGGGGTTAATAGAATCTTTACAAGAAATCAATTTTAACGATGTCCAATTTGTTTTGACTGTGCAAAATTTTAGCTGCTTCTTTATATGATATACATTCATATGTATTAAGATTTCTTGTTTTTTGTTTGTTCTATAAATTTGCATATAGTCCAATAACTTGTTTGCCCAGATTTTTTGTATTATCATAACAAGCTCTACTAGTGTTTATACTTACTTGCGATAATAATTCTATACATACATGTTAAACACATTTTAATTATTTCTTATAATAATTGTAATTAAATAATTATATTACTTTTAATCCAATCTACATACGAACTAACTCTCATATAGACACCAGGTAAATTCGACTGGCCACAATTGGTTTTTGGACCAAAAGCCACAATACCTATTAATGTATAGCGTCCAGAGGAAGAACGCTCCATAAATGGACCACCACTGTCGCCTAAAAAAGTGAAATTATATATAAAATTTTTTTATACAAATTTCTGAAATGATTTACCTTCGCATACATCGTTCATGGCCTCAGCTTTAGCACAAAATTCAGTTGGTGTTATGACTATACTAATTTCAAAATTTTCACTATATTTAGCATATCGTATGGCACATTCTGTATTATTCATAATGGGTAAATTAATGTAACGTATTGTTGAGCTTTTAAGTGTTGAAATACCTGTTTTAAATAAAATTTTATAAAAGATAAAAAATTATAGAAAAGTCATAATTTAATAAAAACAAAACAAAAAAAGATAAATAATTAAAAATATATTTCTTATTACCATTACTGCTCCAACCGGCCACAACTCCCGTGTCTCCCGTCAAAGCACTACTATTTGTTTGTGGTAAGCAAATTTGTATTAAAGGTCCTAAAAACCATAAATTTTGTTAACAAAATAATTTAAAAACAAAATACAGATGCGTGTGCTATTAACCTACCTTTCGATTCTGAGGTTATGGCTATTCTTAAAAGAGCTACATCATTATTAAATAAGGGTTCATTGTAATTTGGATGCACTATAGTTTCCAAGATTTGATAATCTTCAAAGTTTGTCTCATCGCCAATACGAACATAAATCCTGCAGGAAATATTAATGTAAATTGTGTGTGTTGAGGTTTTGATATCAACATTTGGTTACTTACAATCTTAAATCTCGTACTAATTGATCCACACAGTGTGCTGCAGTTAATACATGCTGTTCATTTATAATCGTACCCATACATCGATAACCTATCGTTCGACTAGCTGGAATTATAATGGAAAAATGAAAGGATTTATGATCGCTAAATTGGCTTTTATATAATGGACTTCCTGGTCGCAATAGAAAAAAGTGACAAGAAGGTTGTTATATTGAAGCTGTCAAGATGCTATCGTTTAGCCCTATGGACATTATTATCTAATTTGTTTTCGGTCTAGTTTGGTCAAATTCGATACCAATCAACAGAGAATATTTGTGGACATTTTAATTTCTTAAATCCACATAGTTTTTAATGTCGGTAGGACATTTTGTTTTTTTACAACACAGAATATATGGATAGATTATATTTAAAAGCAGTTATCTTCTAAAAAGAAAAAAATAGAATGATAAATCGTTAGAACAATTTTCTTTTCTAAAAAAAATCTAAGGAAAATTTTCTCGAAAAAAGATTTTTTATCAGTTTCCGAACTATATATGTATGTATGTACATCCACTGGACAAATTTTTTCCACTTGTAAAATAAAAAACAAAAATCTTTCTTTCCAAACTCATATCCTGAAAATTCCACTATTAAAATTAATTGAAAACATTTTTCAATTGGTGCAATTCAAATAAAATGAAGCATTGAATCTATGAATATTTTATTAGTAATTAAATTTGTGTAAACATAACAATAATGATTGATTGATTTGGTGCATGAGAATTTGACGTTATTGACCGACCTTAACACTTATGATTTTCACGCTATCACAGCCAAATAATTAAAAACATGCTAAACTATTGTTGTTCAGTTTCCGCATCTTTATTGTTTTTAAATTGTTTCTGCATAAATTGATTTTAATCAACGATCTAAACTAATGTCCACAAAACTCTTACAGATATCAATTTCAATTATCTTTAAAATGCCGGATGTTAAGGGGCCCGAAGAAACTTTGAAACGAACTAGCAATTCCTTATCAACGGTTGTGGATAATTTGAATAATGCTACAAGTCGAATTAGAGAAAATTGTTCTTGTGTATTTCGTATGACCGAAGCCAAATGGGAACTGTGTCGTAGTTTAATGATATTTAGTTTAGGAGTGGGACTGACCTTACAATTACGTAATGTTGTACATGAATTCTTATAAAAATTATTTAGATCAATGTGCTAATTAATAAAAAAAATTAAAATTTTATATTTTTTAAGACTTGTTATTGTAAGAAATTTTTCGAAAACTTCCGATATCTTTAGGATTAAAAGATAGATCAGAATAATAGAAATATTAAAATTCCAACAAAACGCACGATTTTTTTTCAAAAACTTTAATATACTACATATTCCGATGTATGTTTGGTTTACGGTTGAAATTTTATATTTTCCTCCTTAGTCCGCTACTGGCCCTGTTAATACAATGAACAATTTAAACTACTTACTTGTATTTAAATAAGCCAAACGTGTAATCCAGGGAAAAACTTCAATATTACCACCAGAAACCGAAGGTAATATGCCACAACTTCTGGGCGACGACTTCTCAGGTTTTGGTGTAGCCCGCTGCATAGGATAATCTTGATTATTATTATAATTATTATTGCTGTGAGTATGAGGAAAAAATGGTACATCATGACCAAGATGATGATGATGGTGAACATGTTCATGATGACCCTGAAGATCAAATGAGGGATATTGTGGCGTTGAAGGCAAATGGCCACTTGTATGAGGGTGTGCAGAAGGGTCACAATTACCCAACGGATCACAGATTACAGGCGTAGTTTGCTCATGATGTTTATTACTAACCGCACCATAATTATTCGCATAATTTGGCGTATTAGGCGAATGAGCATCATAATATTTTGTTTCGATTTCATCGTGTGCTTTTAAATATTCATCGTAATTGTATTCATGGCCAAAGGAGGGCGGACAGTTTAGTCCCGTTAATTCATCTATATAATCCAATTTAGGTTTTTCCTTGGCATTCTGTTTATGATTGATTTTATCCGGACAACAGACAAATATGCTAATACCATCGAAATAGCAAACGGCCTCTTGTATGACAGCCTTAATGTGTGCATCGTTGGGGGAGTTATCGATAAATGTGTTGAAAGCTTCACAGGATTGTAATAAGATGCAATTACATAAAGATAAATTTTGTGTTGGATATGTGACAACTGTTTGAAAATAAAAGACAAAATTTATTAAATAGTTAAAAATCTAAAATCATTATTTAAAGATCAATTATAAACACCAACATAAAAAAGTTTGTTTTTTAAGTCTTTCGTTTCACATGCTCTTTTTTGAATATACACTGCCAAACAAGTTTTTATCTTAAGTCTTTCTATTTTGTTTGTTTTTCGTTTGAACTTCTGTATAGTTTTGCGGTTATTTAACTCTATTTTTTTTTCTATATAAAACAAAAAAATTTACACCACATGATTGTAATTTAATTGAATTATAGCAATGATTCACTAACTATTCGATACCGGCTATATGTAGTAGCAAATTCATGATCAAGGTAATTAATGACGATATTATTTATTTGTATATTTATGTTTATAAGGGGTTTTTCTGTTTTTTGTTTTTTTTTTTTAATTTTTCAAATTGTTTCAGTTTTTAAGCTGTTTGAAGTTGTGCGTTTAAGCATTTGCTGTTTTTAGTTTTATACGCGTTTTTTTTTTTTTTTTTGGGTCATTCATTTGTTTTATTTTTTTATAAATATTTTACGGCAATTATGACATCTATTAAGTACTCGTGTTTTTATGAACTCTTTTTTTTTTCTCACTAACGGAACTGACCTAGTTAAGATTATGGTTTTTATACTTTTTTGGGTATTTCTGTGTCTTATTGTTAAACCGGACTTAAATGAATATTTATTTTTTCCGTCTATGTTTGTTTTTATTAAGATATTTTCTATACTACTAATGTGTAATAGTTTTTATAGTTAGAATCTATGACTTCAAATGATATAAACAGTTTTAACCAGAATTACAATTTCGTTTTATTTTAGCATATTTTTTATTTTTGTGTTACAGTTTTTTTTTTAGTTGACATTGCGTTATAATTTTACGAAAATTACCTTCATTAAATTTGCATATTTACTTGTTATATACAGAAAAAAGTAGTATGTACATATTAAATGATTTTTCTAAACAAAATAGATTTAAAGATTAGTTGAAAAATGTAAAAACACAATTACAACGTTTAGCACTGGACGATATCTCAAAATATAGAATAGATATCAAAACAAATTGAAAGAAAAAAACATGTGATTTATAAATTTGTAGTAAGATTGTATTGTAATAAAAAAATTACTTTTTGGAATTAATAAGGACTACGCACGAAAAACATGGTGAATAAGAATTAATCGGTGTCATTATAGTTTCTATATGCATCACAATCTTCAGTAATGTTATACCAAATTTCATCCTCTTTCTATTCTTAATTTGTCTAATAATGGGGAAATTTGTAAAACCAAAGGAAATTTGATTTGGAAATTTTGAAAATTTTAAATATTTTCACTTTAAGAAAATTAATATGGTAGAAAGGAAGTTCCCGGAAAATTTTTAGTATTGGATAATGTGAAAGGAATATTTGGCTATTGATACAAGTCCCTTTGTTATCTACAAATTTCATGTCAAGTGACCCAACTCATAAAATCGATTTTAAGGTTAGTACTATTGGATAATAAGGCCAGACACAAATTTTCAGCTAAGTATATCGGTCAAGAACTGCTGGAGTTAGAGGCGGTCAAAGTTGAAAATTTTTTGTTTATGTTTGTTCTACAATCCAATAGTACTAACCTTGGTTAAAATTTCATCCAATTCGAAAGACATCGACGATATTACAGATATACAATAAATAGGACTATCCTTCTGAAGAATTCTGTTTTCTCTTTATTTACTTGCTTTAAAATTTATAACACACACATACACATTTTACCGGGTCATAAAAAAACAAATTATTTCAGAACTAATCACCCTAATTCGAACTTTCTCCGTTTGGAAAATTTAATATTTGCATTTCGATTTGATGCTTCATCACTAAAAAACGTAGCTACGATAGTAATGTAGAATAAACACAATTCTAAAACATTACAACGAATTGGAATTGCTTCTTCTTTTACTTAAGATTCCAATTTTTGCTGGAATGCCTTTTTTCAATCTTTGCCCAACTAAATGGGGAATAGGGGTGAATATACATATATTATATTTTATTGATTCCTCAATCAGACTTTCCTTAAAATCTTACCAAATTTATATTTAGACTATTTCATAAAATAAGGACTTTATATATATAAAAAAAACTTTGATATTAAATTTTTATATTATTGACACAATGTTGTTTATTTTCAATATTTCCAATATTCAAATTATCGCACTAATTTCTTATTAAGGCGTTTACGAAAAATATTTTCCAAATTATTTACAATTTAATTGTACTGTAAACTGATAACTTGGCGGGAGTCAATTAAAGGTGAGATTTTAAATGTTAAGTAACAAATACAGGCACTTTTTATTTTATTAAATATAGAAAAACAAACACTCTTTTGAACTATAAAATTGATAACATTCTAATAGTAGAAAGAATCGCGCGCTCCTATTGACGCAAAAACTTGTATTAAAGTTAAACACACGTATTAATTAACATAATTCTATACATACATATGAATCTCATTTATTATTTATTATAATTTTAATTAAAACGTTTTCTTTTCTATTCACTTTTGTTTACACAACATTAAGTTGCTAATAATTTTACCTTTACTGACACAATTCGCCAATAACAAACAAAAACAGAGATTTAAATTTATTTTAATTTCTAATTTAAACATTTTGTTTTAACGAAACCACAACACTTTTTTTCACTTTATTTATTAAATAATATATTTTTTTAATAAAGTAGCAAATTTTATTTAAGTAATAGCAATTAAATATTTGTTTATTTTTTGTTTGTTTAATTTTTAAACTTTACTGTTTTTAACATTTCACTTAAATATTATTTCTTTTTCTTTTCTTTTTGAAATGCGTTTTGAATAAACCAGTCCGTCGTCAGTCCTCCATAAAGCACCGCAACGTTTCACGTTTTAAATGATAATGATTTTATTAATAACAAAGTTTTTGAAAATATACTATAGGTACTATAGAAATAAAAATACAACAAAAAAGAAAAAAAATATAACTAAACATTTCATTAAAGATTTTGTAGACATTAGTGTTTTTTATACATTTTACATACATATACTTACTGATATATATATTTATATGAATGTATGTTTGTATAAACACAGACAGAGCTATTTTTTTAGCATAATTAATAAATAGTCTTACTTATAATAATTAACAGCAACATCAAACAAAAGAAATTTATTTAAAATTATAAAATAATTAGTTTTTTTTTTGTATTTATTTAAACTTATTATTAACAAAATAGAAATGTATTCTGTTAACATGATGAATTCTTATCAACTAAGATCAGACTCTATAAATTTAAAAAATATGAATTTTACCAAAATCTTTTAAATAAAGTTGAAATTTTTTCAAATACATATGTTTAACGTAATTTCAAAAAAGTTCTTTGACAGTAGTAACGATTTCTATACCATTTTCAATCTCTTTTCAAATTTTCTAATTGTAATTCTAGTTGAGTTTCAGTAACATATTGAACATTTTGTTTAATAAACGAAGTTCTTCTTAATTGTTACCATTTTTTCACAAAAATATTTAAAATTTGTATTGAAAAACAAAGTTAAAGTTATATTTATTGAGACTTTTTTGAAACCAATTTTATAAGAACAACATAATATATGATATTAAAATAACTAATAGGAAATATTTTTTTTGATATCGAAATAATGTAATATTTTCACTTTTAAAGTAGTGCAATTATGTATATTTCAGATAAAAAACTTTTAGTTTGAGACATTGATATAATTTGTATTACTACCTGAACGAACTATATACATACATATGTATATGTTTGTTTTTGAAAGCTTGCGGGTTTTTTGAAATTTTTCAATGTGTACATATGTACATATTCATCCTATTAGAAGTTTTATTGGAATAAAAATATTTGATTTTCATGTACCCCATACAAATGTATTGTCATTTGTTAACCCTCTGTCAAAAAAACCAGTAAGATTTTTAAGAACTTTAAATTTGGTGGTGAATACTTTTAATTTATATCCAACACAAGTATTAAATTATTAATACTGGCAAAAATTTTGACATTAAATCCGTTTACACGATATAAAAATAAACTTGATTTCAATTAAAAAGCGTAACAAAACATGTTAAATTAATTAAGCCAAACAAGACATTAAACTCGCACGATTAAAGCGCAATGTAGCTGTGTCTGTTACAGAGAAAGAAAATTTTTATTAGAACAAAGAAAGTAAAGTGTTGTATACGTGCATACATACAATAACACTGTAAGTATGTCAAAAAGTCACAGAAAAACGCCGAGACACCTAAACTTAATTTTGGGTCGTAGTATCTAGTGGCATACTCCGTTTTGAAAAGTTGGGTCGAAATCGGGAGATATTGCGTTTTAAAGTATGAGCTTTTATGAGGTGATATTTTATTTTTCTAAATTTTGAAAAAAGTTTTCTCGCATAGACACACGAATTAATCACGAAAAACTAAATATATATGTATAATAATTCAAATGGACTCTAGTTTCATGTATTTATTTACTTTTATATGCGTGTAAGTTTTGTTTTTTAAATTTAAATAATCAAAAAGTCACCTCAGAAATAGTTTAAAATTTAAAATGCAATATCTCCCGATTTTTAACCAACTTTTTAAAACGGAGTATGTCACTAGATTCTACGACCGAAAATTAAGTACACGTATTTCGGCGTTTATCTGTGTCTGTGTTTTTGAAAGTTGAAATTTTACGTACAGTGTAATTATTAAATATATCTAATTGCATTACAGTTTTTTAATTTATTCTCAATATTTATATAGACCGAAATTTAAAAATACGAATGTCCAATAACATTACAAGTCATTTTGTCCACCACATACATTGTGATATTAACCATAATTTAAAGAGAAAATAAAAACAACAAAATAATTTAAAACTTTGTTTAATGTTTTATTTATAGTTTTTCTTTTTTGCGTCTTCTGCTAGGAGTATTTACTTTATATGCCACAATTAATTAGATATTTAAACATGAATTTTATTGGAATGCATGTTGATTGTGCGTATAAATCTATGTTGGATTCACAATAATTGAATGTATATTGTATATAATTAACTTAAAACAAACGGTACGAATAATTGGAATGTCTTTTATGCCATTTCAAATAATTTTCATAATAATTAATAAGATGATCATGATGCTCTGAATTGCGTTCAGCGAAAAATATAATAAGAAAATAAAATAAATTTAACTCAATTCAAACATGTTTAAACGACTAAAGGAACTTCTGCATTTGTAGTAATTGTTTGTGTAACAACGACTGGATTAACTGTAACTGTTATGGATGGTAGTGGCTGTTGTTTCTGCTCCACAGTTGCTGCTATTACATCTTCATGGTCTTTTTCAGCTTCTGCTTTTTCTTCATTTATTTGAAGATTTTGCATTTGTACAACCTGTTCAACAGGTTCTTCGCGTTCATTAATTGCATGATTATGTGTTGTATTATTGCTGCAAACTTCATCATCATCACCATCATTGTTAACATTACCAGCAGCAACATCATTATTGTCGTCAATATTAATGCCAGCCTGAAGTGGGGCTGATGATGTGTTAGTAACCGTGTTGTTATTGAATAGCGGTTGTTCAATACTGTTGCTGACATCTTCATTCGTTTCAATGTCATCGACAGATGTTTCATTATTTAAAACTTCTGTCATGGGGTCATTCAATGCCATTGCCTCTATTTCGGTTGCATAATTAGCAACAATAACTGAATTTTCACCATTTTCTTTCAACAGTTCCAAACTGTGTGGATCTTCTTCATTCGATGCGTAACCATTTGTGAGAGTATTATTTGGATTCAAAGCCAATTTAATTTTCTCACCTACTTTGCCATCAATTTCTCCAATTTTTTGTTGTAATTTTTCTTTAAACTCAGTGGGCCATCTACGATTCCATTGATTGAAAAGTTTAATCTGTAATATAGAAATACAATTTTAAACTTTACAATATTAAACTTTTACTAAAGTGTACTGTAAACAATACCAACAACACTTTCATTTTTCTTTTAAACATCTTGTCTCTTACCCTGCATTGAAATAATGACATTGGTCTTCCACTGAATTCAAGATCATTTGGTAAACCATTCATATTAACCGGTGGTGTTACCGCTGCAGCTACAAGTCCATCATCATTATCATCATCTTCGTTTGTGTGAGAGCCCGTTATATATTTTACTAGTATTGGTACGAAATCATCACGTTGCAATTCGCTCCATTCGTTAAACCATTGTACAATATAACGGAATTCACCATCAATAGTTAGATTATTCATTGACATCTTTATTTTTGTTTTTATTTATGTGATATACAGTTGTTATAAAAAATAAACAATCTTAGAGAATCTTAAAAGAGAACTAAAATTGGAAAAGTTGTTATTTTAAAAAGTAAAAAAAATATATGTTAAAGAGTTTGGTCAATAAAATTATAAAATCCATACAAGTAAAGACTGTAATCAATTTACAATAGACAATTTTTATTATTAAATTTAATAAATTTTATTTTAACTTTAACAAAAAATTTCATATTCGGGCATAAATGGTTAAGATGTTTGGATATATGTTGATTATCGTTTCCTAAACATATGAAATGAACGGCCTTTCGAATGCCTTTCTTATGATATACAGATTTTATATATATGTATACATATTCAAAATGTGTTAAACATTTTTATATTTTAACACCGTTTAGAAATTATGATGTTCCATATAGACAATTCCATCGTTCGAGTGATTTAGATTTTGTAAAAACTTATTTATGCCAAATTTGATCAATGATTATAATACTAATGCCGTATAAGTATTTTTCAGATATTAAACTTTTTATGGGATTTATTGTCAAATAATTTCCGGGCGTTATACAAATTAGGTCTGAATGATGGAAAGTGATTATAATTAATATAATTGAAGCGGCCATTTCGAAAAGAAAATTTTTATTTAAAAATATCTGTACGATAACATTTTTATAGATTGAATACAAACAAAATGTTTATTAATCAGAAGGTAGGTATTTAGAATTGTGTAGAAGATATAACACTGTGAACAACTGAAGAAAAATAAAATGCAGGCGTTCTTATATACAAATTTCATTTCGCTATAGTCCATAGAGTACGAATATAATTTTAGTTTTCCCCTATCACTTCGTTAACATACTTATTAAGAGCAAAATATGCGAAAAAGAGCAATTTTTTAAGTTTTAACTTTGAAAAATAATAAGCTTAGTAGTTTTCAACCGATTGTCCAAAAAACTCACACTTTTTTAGAAATTATTCATTTTAATCATATATTTTTAAAGTTAACACTTATTCATTAAAGTTAAAACTATATTCGTACTCTGTGGACTACAACGAAATGGAATTGGTATATGAGAACACCTGCCTTTTTGGTGTATCACTGTGTAATTAAAGAATCGATAATTTTTAAAAATTAATCAAATGTTGTTCAGATCAGATCACATTGCAGGCGATACAGCAGAAAAACGACAAAAACACTCCATGATCTAGGAAAGGGCTATAGACAAACTGTTGAAATAATTAGATGCTCCAAGAAAGTAATAGAAGATACTGTAAAATATAAGTTTAAGCCAAAAAAATATCGAGAAAAAATAAAAAATGACATCTTTTTTTAAGCGAAAAAAACAGACTCATGTAGAAGATGACACTTTTGTGTGCTCCGTGTAACCTTAAAAGGGAATATAATTTAGATGTTGCCAGCTTAATTGTAAGATCTCTCATATGGGGTTATTTTTTCTTGTTTGGAACATAGTGTCTATTTCGGATTGAGGAAAGATAGGACTATAAATATCCCATAATTATAATTAATGAGAAATAGCACTTTTTAAGGAGATTCCTACTATTGTGTGCTCAAAAGCGAAATTTTTTTACATGACACCATATTTATTGCTCCAAAAAGAGGTCTTATTTTTTCTTGATATTTTCTGATTTAAACTTATGTATTTCTACAGTTTATACTATTTTTTTGGACCAAAGAATTATTTCAAGAGCCTATACCTAGCTCTTACCTTGAACATGGCGTATTTTTATCATTTTTCTGCGGCATCGCCTGCAAAGTTTGCTTCTGCCCTTTTTGGACTCAAAATTATAGTTTTTTAATGAGATTATATTAGGATTGTAATAATAAGCCTTAAACTTACTAATTGTATCGATTTAAATTTGAAAATTGTCTTCAAATTGTTAAATTTGTATATTTTTGCAAACTGGCTCTATTTTTTGTCACACCATTTTATATAGCTTAATTTAAAATTTCATTAAAATTAGGAATACCTAGCTACGCGTAAATTATTGCAAAAATAATGGTATTATATTCATAACAGATAAATACAAAATTTCAGTTAGTTTTTCCAACTGTATTCTTTGTAGGAGAGATTTTAAGTGAAGAGAAACATTGAACGTGATGGTGGCTCTATTTCATCGAACATCACTGTATGTGCAGTGTCTCTCATAAGTATTCGAATTTAGGTAAACTATGAAAAGAATAATATATTTTGTGTGGAAAATAAATAAATAAATTTGTTATATTGTCTACATAGTCCTTAGTTTTGATATCACGCCCCTTAAAACTTGAAAACTTTACATTTACTTAAATTAGTTGTGCTTTTTTTAAAAAAAGTCCATGAAACTACTTCACAAAAGTATGCGAATTTTTCCTGTATTTCATATTTGATCATATTATACGATACACAAATTTTAGAATCGCATGGTTTTATGCTTAATATTGTTTTAAGGGGTTACTATCAACAGCATGGATACATTTTTGACCCATTTGGTCCACAATTTTGGGGGATTTGTACCCTCTTTTCATGTAATATCATTAAAATGGCGATTTTTGGCTATATTTGTAATGTTTTCACCCTTTTTCCAGAGATAAAACCAAAATTTAATATTGGAATTTAATAGAACCCATAGGGTATCCAAAAATAATATTTTTTGTTATAAGGATCTGTACTTAAACGTTCCAAGATGTATTTTTGGTATCGTTTTTCAGTTTCTAATTGAATTATCTGGATCATAAGTCCCTTTTCGTACCTCTAGGGACTATATTTTTCGACAAAGTTGTCTAGTGTATATTCATGTACATATTGGCACTAATGTATTTTAAATTTTCAATATATTATAGCGGTATACAACCCCAAAACATGTCTTAACAAAACGTCATCCTATATAGTAGAATTCAGTTTTTACTACTCGTAACTTTCACGCTTATGTTGCCCGTTACAATAACACTGTAAGTCCTAAATTTTGGTTTTAATTTGATCATAGTAAATAATATTTAAACACATATGTATCAACATTTTTCATGTGATCATAATATCGTGCCATGCAGCATGGAGGCCATTGGTATATAAAAATAATGATTTTACTATTTTGAAACTTCCACAACACTTTGAAAACTTAAAATGTAAAAAGCTGATATCTAAAAGAATATATACCAGAAAACTTTCCTCGAAAATAGTTGATCCTAGTATTATAAAAATGGACTTAAGTTCCAATATATTGAATTAGCGACAGAAGAATGATCCGAATAATTTATCTTGGAACGTTTAAATACAGATTCTTGTAACAAAAAATATTATTTTTAGATACCCCAAGGGGTCTTTTAAGTCCCAATATCAAATTTTTGTTTTATCTCTGGAAAAAAGGAGAAAAATTTACAATTATGGCCAAAATTACATGAAAAGAGGGTACAAATTCCCCAAAATTGTGGACCAAATGGGCCAAAAATATATCCTTTCCGTGGATAGTAACCCCTTAAAACAATATTACGCATAAAAACCATTCGATTCTAAAATTTGTGTTGCGTATAATATGATCAAATATGAAATACAGGAAATACTTTTGTGAGGCAATTTCATGGACTTTTTTTAAAAAAGCACAATTAATTTAAGTCAATGCAAATTTTTCAAGTTTTAAAAAGCGTGATATCAAACATAAGGACTATCTAGACAATATAACAAATTAATTAATTAATTTATTTTGCACACAACATATATTATTAAATTTGGTTTCTTTTTATTGTTTACCCAAATTCGAATAATTATGAGAGACACTGCACATGTACAGTTAATCTCAAAAATAAGTATACAGAAATACTGACAATTGGTATTATTTAAAAAAGGATATTATTTTTTCAAAAATCAAAAAAGTAACATATTTATTTATTAAAAACAATTATGATAATTATTATTCACTACTTTTTTCCGGGTTATTTTGGTTACTTGAGTTCTCATTTAAGGTGTAGTTAAATAGGTACAAAATTTACGTCACAAAAGTAAGTATACAGATAATTTCAATATGTATTTGGCTTAATGATATTAACAAAATTCATGACAATTTTACCTGTTTGAATGTAATTATTTTATAATAAAATATTCTGTACACTATAACATGGAAAAAAATTCACTTTTTGTTCCGAAAAATTGAAATTTTTGGTAATTGATCTGAATATTATTTATAGGAGCATTTTTGCCTATTTAAGAACATTAAACCCCCGGAGTTTTGGATCGGGTATTCAATAATATCCCTCGTTTGTTCATTATGATGCATTGGAAGACGATATTTTAACTTTTAAATTAATTGTTTCTTTACAATAATTACAATCCATTGCGGAACATTGCCGTTTTTAACATAGTATAGCGTTCATATTCGATATTTAACGGCGATTTCCTAAAATGTATATCTTAAAATGCGATATTAATAATACTTGCACTAGTATCCATTAATTAAAACAAGTTTTTTGGTTCCAATCATCCATTACACACTCCTAAATACTACCAATAATCGTCAAATAGTGACCATGTCAATAACTTACACTACATATCGGTTCTGAAATTGATTATTGTCCAAAATAGTAAGATTTTTATATTAAATCAGGCTCAATTGGTGGTATGAATACGAATTGAACAATTTTGGACACGGATACATCTTAATTTGTTGCTAGAACAAATAAAATGTCCGATCCATAAAACATGGTTATTGTATCGAGCATATCAAGATATGATTGGTCGCATTATTGTATGCTTTGGAAATCGGAGTATTTGGAAAACCTGTTTAAATTAAAGAAAATATATAGAATTATCCAAATTTTAAAGACTTACAACATAGTCTTAAGAAATCGGAGTTAAATTTCGGGTTTTTAAGAACGTACTGTGTTCAAAATGGCCAAATCCATGCATATAACATTAATTTCGAAATAACAACTCCTTTCAAAAGTTAAAAATTCTATTTTCAATGCATCATTTGGAGGGTTCAATGACCACCAGATCCACAATCCGGGGTCTAAAGTGGAAAAAAATCGTAGAAATGAGAAAAAACTGTTCTACTAATTAATTCCGGAGCCAATCGGCCTAAATTTCAAGATTTCGGAACTAAAAGTAGATTTTTTCCAAGTTATTGTGTAAAAAATATTTTATTAAAAAGTAATTATATTAATACAAGTAAAATTTTCATAAATTTTGTTAATATCATTAAACCAAATATATACTGAAATGATCTGTATACTTACTTTTGTGACGTAAATTTTGCACCTTTTTAACTTTAGCTTAAATGAGAACTCAAAGAACCAAAATATGAAGAAAAAAAGTAGTGAATAATAATTATCATAATTGTTTTTAATAAATAAATGTGTTACTTTCTTGTTTTTTGAAAAAATATGTTTTTTTAAATAAAACCAATCGTCAGTATTTCTTTATACTTATTTTTGTGATTAACTGTATGTATGATTATGCATATGTTGTTACACACTATAGAATTAGCAATAAAAACAAGTAAATTTTTAGAAATTTACATATTTTTAATTAATTACTAATACTAACTTGTGTTTTGAGAAATGTAAGTGTTATTTGCACTGGTTTATTCGAACTATTTTAATATATTTATATTATGTGCAATTGTCAAAACATTAACATTAGTTTGCACATTACTTGTAAAACACATTTACTAGAATTGCGTTAATAAATTTTCTAACTAATTTTAAAAACACAATTTTCAGTTTTCTTTGTTTAAAAAAGTTTAGTTATTTTTTTAGTTGCAATTGCAGTTTCTTATAAATCTTTGCTTTTAATAATTTTTATGCGACTTAACTCCACGACATCAACTGAACTAATGTCGTTGGCATTATCTGGCTTGTTTTTCACCTTTTTCCATCATGGATATTTACTATGATTTTTTTCTTGTTATTGTCTCTAATGCATTTTTTTTTCATATACAATTTTTTGTTTTTCATATATTTGTGACGGAGTTGTTGAGACTCACTCTCTGTAGTTTATCTTCTGAAAAACTAATAAAAAACACTTGGTTGATAGAGTGTGTGTCTCCACTTAAAGCTTTTCTATTAAAACTTACACTAACTGGTAAGACATGTAATAAACAAAATAACTGTATTATTAACAATAAAATCCATTCATATTAAACCAACAAGCAGCAGCACCATGTACTTTAAACTGGGCTGTAACGAAATGGCTCATAAAAAAAAAACTGGAAATTCTATGTTAACAATTGATTTTTTTCTTCTAATCTGTCTCTTTAGTAGTTGAGATGTTAATTTATATATCTCAAAAATGCATTCATAGTTATTTTATATTTTTCTTAGTTCTATTATTTCTCTTGCATTTATCTGACTACTTACAGATGGATGTTTGGATACACTAAAGAGCCCTGTGCCGACAAATATTAACGGAGGCGGCGACTGACTCTAAAAACTTCGGCGGCGTATTAAAATCGACTATAAGATGTATATGTTTTCAACTGTGTTTTTTTAATTTTCAACGATATTAAATAAAAACAGAATCCAAGTGATTAAAAAGTGGGAACAAATGTTTGTTAATCCACCACCCAAAAGTGGTGTATTTTTATAAAAAAATCCTTAAAGTTCATGAATAATATTCTCGAAATCCTTTTAAATAGTCATAAAAGGTACTTATCAAAAAAGACTTTTTTTGCTTGGATGGGTCTCATTTTGTTTTTTAGTATCTAAAACTAATTGGTTTAAAAATTTAGCCCATTCGAATAACGGGAACCCGTGTCGAAAACCGATTGAAAAGTGTAAAATTGCATTAACAATAGGACTTTTTCAAAAATTTTTCCATTAAAATTATATTTTCATTCGTAATTCAGCTCTGGGTGGAGGAAAACCGTTGTTCGTCGTTGCCATTATCGCTTAAGGGTAATCAGGCCGTCCTTTTTGTTCTGCCTTCGAGAGTTTTACGTTTCAAACCGCATTGGCCAATGTGTGACGTCAGATAACTGTACTGAGTTACAGTTTTTCTTGAGGTGCATATTGACCATGTGCAATCGTGTTAACTTAACCTAAGTTTTTAATTTTGATTAGAACATATGAGCTAGTTTTTTCTAGCTAGAATTGGTGATGGCGTTGTATAATTTTTAATTACTGGCCAAATAAATCTTAGTTTTGGAAACTAAGTAACTTAAAAAACAAACTATAACAATAAATGCTGGGTGGACTTTTGTAGTTTCAACTATAAAACACTCGTAATCCCACCGTGCAACTAATAATATATCTCTGACTCACCCGGTATTATTTACACATTCAGTGTCTTTTCGTGTTGTGACATAATAATGACAATGTGAGATTTTTTCCACCAACTTTGCTGTCAAAAACCATTTTTCTTCATTCTTTTCTTTTGAAAAAAATTTTAACCGAACGAAAGTCCGGAAGTTTTTTTTCGGAAAAGTTTGCAATTTATAAATCAATTAATAAGGTAAATTAAAGTGGACATAATTCTTAGTAATTACTACATTTATATCAATTATATTTATAGTTTTATTAAAAATCTATCGAAAAAGTGTACAGCAAAAAAGTTGGTCGATAAAACCTGCAACTTATAAGAAAACGAAAGAAGTTTTTTTTTTGTGTTTTCTTTATTTGAAAAAAGTCAATAGAGGTGGTGGTGGTATTGGACTGTCCTAACAACAACACAAAAAACCAATAATACTTTAAATTAAAAAAGTGAAAATTACAACGAATATTTTTGCGTAAAAAGAGTGAGATTTTTTCGATAAAAATATAGTTTTTATTGAAAACTATTATAATGTCAGCTGTTCAAGTTGAAATGGAACAAAATAATAATGAGGACCAACAACAGAAAGCATGTGGTGCTGAGGGTGGTGGTGCCTGCAATACCACGGCTTCAACTGTGACGTCAAATAGCACTTCTGCTACACCAGCTGCTGCCACTTCGGAAGCTGGCAAAGATACCAATGCTCAGGATGAAAAAGTGATTTTAGCCGATAAATATAAAATTCAGGGAAATGATTATCTTAAAGGTAAGATAGTATTTTTGTTTGTATTTACTAAAAGATGTTTAAAAAATCAGTATTTTGGGGGAAAATTTTTATTGAAAGCGTTCTTTCACTTTTGACTTGGCAAATAAACTTTGCATGTAAAGTGTACTATAGTAAATTTTTAGTAGCCGATTCATAATTGATGGTATTTCTCATATCGGTATAGGGTATCATATTGATCATTTACTACAAGACTGGCATAATCAAAAAAATCGTTTCGGGAAAAATAGCTTTGAATGTTTAATAACATTTTACAGATTCAGATAGTAGTGGGTAATATGTTTCTAATCTAAATTGAAATGTAATTTTTATTTATGTAATATTCATAAAAACATGAGTTTTAGACATATTTGAAATTTGTAGCCCTCAGTAAAAAAAACGCGAATTTTTGATTAGTCGTTTAGTAAATGACCGATATGAAGTCAGACTTCATACAAGCCTTAAAATATCTAATTATTCATTAGTTTTTTTTAATTATTAATATATTTTTTATTTAAATAATACATATATTAATTATTAATATATTTATTGGTCAATAGTGGCTTTTTATATTATTACTATGAATAAAAATTAAAATAAAATAATATATTTTATATATGTATAATTACCATTTATTTGCCCACAAAAATTTAAATACAAATTTCATTTTCTTTTAGCTAAAGATTTCTCTAAAGCGATCGAAATGTACACCAAAGCTATAGATTTAATACCAACTAATGCAATTTTCTATGCTAATCGTTCATTGGCTCATTTGAGGCAGGAGAGCTTTGGTTTTGCTTTACAGGATGGTATTGCTGCCGTTAAAGCAGATCCAACCTATCTTAAAGGCTATTATCGCCGAGCAGCGGCTCATATGTCATTGGGCAAATTCAAACAGGCCCTATCGGATTATGAATATGTAAGTAATATTTTCTAAAACATGCCATTTGCTATTTACACCAATTGTTCTATTAAAGGTATCAAAATGCCGTCCCAATGATAAAGATGCTAAATTAAAATATACCGAATGCAATAAAATCGTTAAAATGAGAGCATTTGAAAGAGCTATTGCTGTTGATAAACCAGAGAAAACTTTATCAGAAATGTTTAGAGATTTAGAGAACATTGGTATGTTTAAATTAACGAAATTACTTTAACATAATTTAAATAATCATCTATTATACCTTAAACTTTTAAAGCCATTGAGGATGATTATAAGGGACCTGCGTTAGAAGATGGTAAAGTGACTTTGAAATTTATGTTAGAACTTATGGAACATTATAAACAACAAAAGAAATTACATCGCAAATATGCTTACAAGGTAAGTGAATTGGAAAACTTTGATCAAATAAAATATTCAAATTATTGTACATTTCTCTCTAAAAGATCCTGTGCGATATTGATAGTTATATGCGTACTCAACCTTCAATGGTGGACATAAGTGTGCCCGATGAATCTAAATTCACCATTTGTGGTGATATTCATGGTCAGTTTTATGATCTTATGAATATCTTCGAAATTAACGGTTTACCCTCTCCAACGAATCCATATTTGTTTAATGGTGATTTTGTCGATAGAGGCTCATTTTCGGTGGAATGCATATTTACCTTATTTGGTTTTAAACTGTTGTATCCCAATCATTTCTATTTATCTAGAGGTATTGTATAAGTATAATTTTAAATATTGCTAGTTCTGTATATTAAAATGTTTTTCTTTCCCAAAGGTAATCACGAAAGTATAAATATGAATCAAATGTATGGTTTTACCGGTGAAGTAACTGCTAAATACACAAGCACTATGGCTGATATGTTTACGCAAGTTTTCAATTGGCTGCCCTTGTGTCATTGTATCAACAAGAAAATCTTGGTTATGCATGGTGGACTTTTCTCTAGCGATACTGTTACCCTGGATGATTTAAGACGTATTGAACGTAACTGCCAACCACCAGAAGATGGTCTTATGTGCGAACTTTTATGGTCGGATCCACAACTTAGTTATGGTCGTGGTCCTTCGAAACGTGGTGTTGGCATACAATTCGGTCCCGATGTTACTGAAACTTTCTGTAAACATAATAACTTGGATTATATTGTACGTTCACATGAGGTTAAGGATATGGGCTATGATGTATCACATGATGGTAAATGTATAACGGTATTTTCGGCACCCAATTACTGGTATGTTTTTTTTTTTTTCATTTATTGTTGAAAGAATAATTGATTATTATTATGTTTCTTTTTCAGCGATACCATGGGTAATTTAGGTGCATTTATAACAATCAAAGGCAATGATTTAAAACCTAATTTCAAGTCATTTGAATCGGTGGTAAGTTGAGAATTATTACATCGTTTTTTAGAAAATTAATTTTTATTGAGTATGACCACTAATAAAATGTTGCAAGAAGAAATGAACTTTTTATTTCCGTAGATTTGTGCAAATTTAATTTTAACCCCCAGCATTTATATTTAAATATTTTATTTTTATAAAAGATTGGATTTGCAGTAAAACAGAGTTTTACCAAAATTTTAATAAAGACCTGTTTAGCGTCTAATTTTTAATAAAAAAAAAATAATTTTTTATTAAAAAACTAAATTTAGCATCGTACTAAAAATCTAAATTTTACCTCTGATAAAATAAAATTATATAATTAATTTAATTTTTTTTTTAATTTCAGCCACATCCTGATGTTAAACCTATGGCTTATGCAAATAGACTTATGAGCTTATTGACGTAGTCATTTTGTTAATATTTCTTATGGCTCTAATGTTTTCAAAACAATTTTTTAAGCAAAACAACAAAAACCAATTACGCTAAATTCTTTTTACAAAAATATATACATATACACTTAAAGAACAACACAACATCAAACAATTTAAAACAAGGATGTAACATCCTACTCTATTTGTTAAACAAAGAGGTAAACAAAGTACATAGTATGTATACAAAGCTTGCTTTGTACTAATAAAAGGAGAACAAATGAAATGCTAAACCATATATAATTACATATTTAACAACATGGTTTTATTTAAAATTATTAACTTTAAAAATTGTTGGTTATGTTCATAATGAAAAAAAAATTAAATTTTCAATTATATTTGTTTTATATTGTTTTTTTTTTTTTAGTATATTATTTTAAATTCAAGATCATTTCTTTTTGCCATTTTTTGTAGATTATTTAAAATTATTTTTTGAAAATGTTTTCCTCTAATAAAACTGCTTTTTACACATGTTTTTTAACATCAAAGTTTTTTGTTGTATATTTTAGGATTCACATTTCTTATTTGTGTTTTTTTCCTTCTGCCTTTCTATCTTATACTGTTGCTATTTTGTTTCATTGAAATAATAACCATTAGGTATTAATTGAACAATAAGCAAGAACAGAATATTATAATTTTATCGTAAATAAAAGTAAAAGACATTTATAAGAGAAAAAATACATACATTTTAGTAAGTAAAGCCCAAAAAAGGAAAAACTAATACTAAATTTTATTATGAAAACGAAACAAATAAAATAAAATTACCAGTAAACATAGAGCAATTACTAAATGTAACAAAAACAAATGAAATGAAGGAATACACAAGTTTAATAAAAGAGATTTTTATGAAAATACATATAACAAATGTTTTTTATTTATATAGTATATTGTTTTACATGCAATTCGACGCGTAATGGATTAATATAATTAATTCTCATTTAGTTTTAATTTATTTATTTAAATCCCATTTAGTTCAAATTTATTTATAAAATTAATTATAAATATTTTTAAACCTATTATTTTTGTACAGTATTTTTTGTAATGTGTTATTAATACAATACTGGCATATCTCAGGAAACATATTTCGGAGTAAAACGGACTTGAAAGTTTTACAATAATTTACTATTTATTTATCAACTTTTAAACAAATCATGAGATTTGAAATATTAAAACTTTGTCGGCTAACAATGTACTAGGTACTACACTGAACCGATTTACAATAAATGTAGTATACCGACGGAACTTTTGGAAAATGGATTTTTATATGGAAAACCTATAATCGCTTTCAATTGAGAAAACAGCTAAATTATGTTACAACTAAAAAATGTCTATCGAAAATTATTATATATATAATTATATGAAATATCTTAAATCGGCTGTAGAAAGCTTGCGAAGCAGCAATTTTTCCATTCATCAGAGACGAGCTGAAGAAACATTCTACATTTCTGGTAAATTTTATATCTGAAAATTTACCTTACATAATAATATTTATGTAACTATAGTTAGAAATCTACTTTAAAAGGGAAAAAAATCAATCGCAATAGACTGTATAATACAAATCATTTTATATTATTTTTCAAAATTTAATTTATTTGTAATCAAAATTATTAAAAACAAAAAAAATAAAATTCAAAATTATTATTTAGAAAACACTAATTTCGCGAAAAGTTTACAAAATTGCCAGTTACATTTATTTCTAAATATTTCTAATAATCCATTAATTTACCAAAAAATAGGCTTTATGAAGTAGATAAGTTTCTTTTCATTCTTGCAGTACAATGAGGTTCTGCTCTTAAATATTTCCTCTAAGCAGCGATTAATATTTTTTTAATATTGCAGTCGAGAAAGATGTCTATCGTTGGATAGAGCTCAGCGCAAACGACAATACGAAAATACACTTCGTAGTGGTCGTTATATACCAGAAAGATCACCAAATAGAACACGATTAGCCTCACGTGCTGCTGCTCTTCGAAATGTACCTAGTTCACCGGAAATATATCATCGAAATTATGGAGGAGGGATAGAAGATTTGGGACAAGATGAAAGACTACAATGTATTGCTATAGAAGATGACAATAATGATGAACTATTGCCTGAATATAATACCGATAGGCAACTTTATATACCAGATTTACCAGAAGAGTTTTTAGATGCATTTGAAGAACCATCGTTTTACGATGTTCCGCCGAATGCATCATTCGATGAGGTCATGTGTGCAATGGCAACACCGCCACCAGCACCAGCTTCATCGGCGCCCACAGCCGCAGAGAAACTAGATGCTATTAGGGCTGAAGTCGCCGAGGTAATAAAATTTGATGATTTACGTAAACGTATGGCCGCTCACATAGGAACATCTGTACAAGAACAACAGGCAGAAGCAGTACAGGTTGATGTCGATGACGTTCGCAGACGTATGGCAGCTCTTATTGGTGAGAGTGAACCAGAACCACAGCCATGTCCGCATAAGATACCTCCTTTGCCTGAAGATCCATACGCTATACCACCGCCACCTAAAGATGCAAAAAATATAGTGGCAATAATAAGAAGAGCCCAAGCTATAGCAAGACTTAAAGCCCTTGAAGAAGCGAAAGCTGCTAAAAAGGCTCCAAAAGGTGTTGTTAAAAAAAGTGTCAGAGGTGTTCCTGTCCCCACTAAATTGCCACTTAAAAAAACTGTACCTTCCGTACCAAAACCTACAGGAAGAACAGCTGGAACAAGAAAATTACCCAAAACTCCAGCATCTCGAAATCTTGGCATTGTAACTAAAAAGTTAAAAGAATGTCCTCCAACGCCGCAGCATCCTCCCGATTATGTTCCTGACGATTGGGCTGCTGCTATATTGCGAACTAGGAAATTAGCTGGCCTTAAGACCACAAATCCAAAATTGCTACCAAAACCAAAAACGCCATTGCCGCAAGTTTCAAAATCTCCTTTAGCACAACCTACTACTACTCCAGCACTACCCACCTTTGCTAACATCATGGAGCGAGTTGCTGCTATTCGATCAAGAACAGATATAGCTAAATCACCTTTAGTGGATCAAAATAAAAACCTTTTAACACCTACTCCACAGGATGAATTGGACGAATATGAAGCCCTAGAGCAATTATATGGTCACACAACTTTAAATCAGTGTCCGGTCTTGTTAGAAAATGTTACCAATTTGCAAAATCGAATAAATGCTTTGCAGCAACAACTTTTGCAGAGCCCACCGCTATCTCTAGATTCAAGTCTAAGAGCTGCAACTCCCACACCTCAAGATGATGACGAATATGAGGCTTTAGAACAGCTTTATGGAGATGGAGTGTATGACCAATGCCCTGCAACAAATGATTATGAAACAGACTTACAAGACCGTATAAATATTTTGCAACAGAAACTATTTCAATCTCCTGCCAAACAAAGTCCTATTTTTGAAGTTCCTTCAATTCTTCGATATCAGGATTTATTAAAGAGTAGAGAATCTATGGCGGCCGCTGCTGCTCAAGCTAGCTTAATGCATAGAGCTCAAGTAGATACTGTACCCGAATATGAAGATGATTTCAGTATTTACGAAGACTCTAGTCCACATTATGAAATACTACAAAGCCCTATTGTAGCCCAATCAACATCAAAGACAGGTACCCCTATATTATCACCTAGAGGTACTCCACAACGATCACGATCTCCTGCAGCAACAACACAAATATGTCCTTCAGGATTCGATGATGCGTTTCTACGTAATATAGACATGCCAGAATTTGATGTAAATGACATACCCGAGTTTGCTTTTTCGGCCGAGGCATTGGCGGATGCTGGTTTTGTAATTGGCGATGAAGTCTCCCTGGGTGAAATTTCAATGCCAACTCTTGAAGACGATGTTTCATTAGATGAATTAGGCTTAGAGGATGTTAGTTCCCCCGATTTGTGCGATTTGTCTATTTCAGGTGTGGATATGGCATTAGAACCAGACTATACTTTAGAAATCTCCACAGAAGAGGATGAAGATGAGATTACTGAGAAAACTGTGGAAGATCAAACTTCAAAAGAGCCTGGATTTTTAACAACAATGGTGAATGCTGTAGTTGACAGGTTTAGAAACATATTTTCACCCTCGAAATCAGAAGGAGAAATGAGGGAGGATGAAGACGATGAACTCAATTTAGATTCATCATTACCTAATATGTTTGAGGGGACGCCACCTCCAAAGCCAAAAACGCCCCCACCAAAATTGCCTGAAGAACCAAAGCCTATTGTTGAAAAACCAGTAACACCTAAAGGGCCAATCGTAATACCACCTCATCCTAAAGATCCAAAGGATTATATGGCCATGGTTAAAAGGGCACAGGCGATTCAGAAGAAGAAAGCAGAAGAGGCTGCATTGGCTCCGATTGCAGCACTTACTAAGGGAAAAGTAGAAAAACGGGAAATTAAATCGTCTATCCCCAAAAGAGCTCCTCCACCAAAGAAAAAACCTCAAATACAAAAGAAAAAGAAAGAGGAAAAACCAGAAAAAGTGTATCCACCAGGAGAATATTCGCCTTCTGACACAAGAGCAGTAGCAAGAGCAAGATCTTTAGCTGGCTTAAAAAATAGATCTGCATTATTAAATCCGGAACGTGCTGCTAAAATTGCAGAACTTAAGGCTGCCCGAGAAGCGGAATTAGCTGCCATAGAAGCATTACCTCCTACAGAACGCATGAGAAAGAAAATGGAAACTATGCGGAAAAGGGTTGGGGCTGCCTTACCTCGGCCGTCTATTGAGGCTTTGGGAACGTTGGAAGCAATACGCGCCAATTTACCAATACCAAAACCTCCTAAACGTAAATGGCGACCTACTGGGAGACTAAGAGCTGATAGACGAGTAAAGCCTTCAGAAAGAATTTTTACGAGAGATTTCGGTCGTGTATTAATTCCTACCAAGTATACACAGAAAAAGAAAGGTTGGAGAAAACTTGATGTTTTGTCTCCCATTGTTGAAGAGGAACAATTTCGAGATAGAGATTTCATGGAGTTTTCTCCCTTGAAACGGCATGAAGGCCAGCTGAGATTACAATATTTAAAAGAACAAGCAGCGAAACGTGCAGCGGAAACTATAAGAGCTGCTGAAGAAGCACAAGCAGCTATTTCGCTACATACACCCACTCGCCAACGAACAAATAGTCCTACATTTGGAAGCCCGAAAATAACACATCAATTCAGCCCAATCCATCTTCAATGTCCGAGTAGTCCCATAACAGAAGAAACCAGGCGCGAGAGGATAATAACAAAAACGGGCCCAAATGGAGGTGAAGAGATAATAAAAGAAGAAGTTACTGAAACCTCCACTATTGAAAATGGCGAAGTTTATACGTCTACTAGGCAAGTCACAACTAAAACTGATGCATTTGGAAATGTTACATGTCATATACAAGAAAGCAAAGGAGAAGATGACACCTATTTAGAAGATTTGTCGGATATAGAGCCTCCGGAGTTTTTGAACACATCAGATATACCGCCACCAATTGATCCATCTATTCCTACCCCAGCGGAAATAATAGATAGAATTCGTTCTAAAGTTCAGCAAAAACTCGATTTTTCTTTACCCGCTGTTCCGCACTCACCGAAAAGCATTTCGCCTGCAACTCCTGGCATGATAGACTTTCCACAAGACATAACAGATGAGGAATTGTTTGACGTAGAAGTTCCTGAATTTGAGAGAACACCTCAAAGAGTATCCCCACAGATGAAAGCTTTTTCTCCTATTGAAAAAGATCTGCGAATGTACGCATGGGGAGAAATTCCCCCTCCAACTCCACCACCAATTTCTCCACCTGGAATGCCTATACAGAAAATTCCTCGATCTCCTGTACAACCTAAGCCTATTAGCCCTCCACCAAAACCAAAATCTCCAGAAGGAATGATTTGTATACCACCACATCCCAAAGATCCGAAAGACTATAAGGCAATGGTGAAACGGGCACAAGCGATTCAAAAACTTAAAAAACAAGAAGAAGAAATAGCAGCTAAAATTACACCTCCAACAAAACCTACTGCAAAAAGTGGACGAATTCCTATATCTCGGTGGGTTGCACCTCCTCCAAAAGATCCAAAAAGACCTCCACGAAAAAGATTGGTGCTTAAGAAGCGAGTACCTAAGATTTCACCCAAAAAGATTGTACAGCAACAAGAGGAAGGCCAAGATGAAGAGAGAGAATGTCCCTTAGAGCCACCACAACTTGCACAAGATTACAGGGATGCTGTAGCTCGAGCGAGATTAATACATGGCTTGAAAAACCGAACAGCTGCCCTTAATCCAAAAGTTGCTGAAAAGCTTGCAGCCATGAAAGCAGAAGAAGAGGCTGCACAAGCGGAATATGATGCATTGCCCGTGCATGAGAAAATTAAAAAACGAATGGAAAAAGTGCGAAAAATTCCACAAAAAAAACGTCGCATCGTGGCAACATCTGATATACTTGGAACTATAGCAGCCATTAGAGCTAATATGCCTCCAATAGATGATATATTGCGCCAGCCTTCCCCACGTAGTTCTCCAACAGCAGAAAGTCTTCCAATTGTAACTCAAACAACATCACCACAAACTCCAACTGCATATTCATCAGTAATTTTGCCACAAGCTCCAATGCGAGCTCGTCCACGTTTCACTAGTACTTCACCAGTTGCAGACGCATCTCTGGATGAATTTGAGTTTTTGGAACAATATATGGGAGCAATGCCAGTGACTCCAGAAATATGCGTTCCTGTTAAAAACATTGATGAAGACGAGTCATTTGAAATTCCAGATATATCATTACTACGACCATATACATCTCCGGGGCAAGTTCAAAGTACAATACCACCACACGCTCCGTCCCCTAGTCGCTCCCGTATACATTCACCGCGGGATGTTCCTATCTGCTTGCCAACAGATTTATCGCTAGAAGAGTTCGAAAATCTAGAAGCTGAATTAAAGACTGACATGTCATTAGATGAATTTGAAGCTCTAGAAGCGGAAGCTGAAATCTTATACAATTACGATACTCCTAAACGAGACGAACGACATTGGGGTAGGAAGTTAGTAGATCAGTTCACTCCATCGCCAAGAAAGAAATTAATAGATCCTAGCACTCCATCAGTAACACCGGAAACAATTAACCTTCTTACTCCCTCACCTGCTCACCCTTCGACTCGAGACGAATTTATATCCCCACCTGGTTTCGTACCAGCACCTTCGATGCGAATGCTAGGACAAGTCGGATTTTTCCAGGAACATGGATTGTTTGATGAAGAATCAATTCTAGGACATGAAACCTTAAAACGCCCTTATATTACTCCCAGAGCAGATGCAAAACCCGGTTCTATATACTATGACGAAATGCAGGATTTCAAAGTTCCCGCCGAAGATATTGTACTCGACACATCACAATTAATGCCTCAAACTCCAGCAAAAACCTTACAAGAACGATTTCAAAGGCTAAAAGAAGCACATGAAAAAAGAACAAGTTCCCCGAGATATGAACAACAATATGACATTACTCCGAGTACACCATCCGTTGATTTTACTCCTATTGGACTTATTAGCCCCAGTGGTGCTCCATGTATAGTTCCAGATTCACATAGAAAACAACTTTCTCCCATTAGTTCACCAACTGAAAAGGAATGGCTATTAAACCTTGAAGAAACTCCGAAAAAGAGAATGCCTGCAGTAAAACAATTTAGAGATCTGGAAGATATGCCATTTGATGAGTTAGAATATGAAATTGAGCCTAGTATGATAGACATTTCATTTGAAAAGCCTGTGAGTCCTCCACCTAGGCCATCAGATATTATAAGAAGAATTAGATCTAATGTTCAGCAACAATTAATAGAACGTGAAAAGTTTTTAAAACCGGCAACTCCTAAAATGCTACCAATGCCCGAAGAATTGACAGATGAAGAATTATTGGAGCTAAGTGTACCTGTCTTCGTACAAACACCACCAAGAACGCCACCAACAAAATACAAGTCACCACGTGTATCCCTCCCAATGGCATGGGGCGAAGAACAACCGGTTACCCCAGTTACTCCAATAACTCCACAACCTCGCATGCCAACACCAATTAAAGAGCCATCACCACCTCGTCCAGCTGAAATATGTGTTATTAAAGAAAAATCTATTTCTCCTGAAGGCCCGATTGTTATTCCTCCACATCCAAAAGATCCAAAAGACTATGCGGCAATGGTAAGAAGAGCACAAGCAATTTATAAACTCAAAACACAAGAAGAAGCCGAAGAAGCAGCAAGAGCTCCACCACCTGAACCACCAAAGAAGAAGGGACGTGTGCCTATTTCGAGATGGGTAGGTCCACCACCTAAAAAGATCAGTACTAAACCAAAAAGAAGACTTGTCCTAAAAAAACGTGTTCCTCAACCTTCAAAAATACAGGCAAAGAAAGTAGATGAAGTTCAACAAACATTGTTGCCCGAGGAAGAAGAAATAGAATATCCTGCGGAACCACCACCACTAGCGCAAGATTATAGGGATGCTGTTGCCCGAGCAAGACTCATACATGGTTTAAAAAATAGAACAGCTGCTTTAAATCCCAAAATAGCAGCTAAAATTGCAGCAAAAAAGGCTGCGGAAGAAGCGGCAGCTGCAGCGTATAATGCTTTACCCGAACACGAAAAAATTAAAGTACGCATGGAACGTTTGCGAATGAAACCACCTCACCGTCGAAGAGGACTTAAACCTACCATGGAACAGATTGCATATTTGGAGGCATTAAAACAGATGGGAGAATATCAATACTCTCCATTAGCTACGGTAAAGTCTACAACACCACTTCGATTATCTGAAACGCCTCGAGCTAAAGCATACCAAAAAGCTCCTAAGGCGACGTATCAGCAAATGCCAACTCCTCGATCAGATTCTAGGAAAATAACAGACCTAGAGTCCAGAGAATTGGCTGAGTTCGAAGCTTTAGAACAGTTCGAAGCAGCTCCAATTTGTCCTGCTCCCAGCTCAACAGAAGACAATGTTGCTTTACGACAACGCATTGCTGATTTGGAAGAACAGTTATTGGAAGCCGAAGAACTGCCGCAAATGGAAGATGAATCGTTGGCAGAATTTGAAGCATTGGAAGCTTTAGAGGCTCCACCTGATCAATGTCCCACTCGACCTGTTTCCTCTTTGGATATGAATCAACTTATTTCAGATTTGCAACAGCAGCAGTTGGTAACACCACCAAGAATTGATCCTAGAGAAAGATATCAACAATTAATAGCCCAAAGAAAAGCGCCTCCTACAACTCCCGTTATAAGCCCTATAAAACCACCAGAAATTCGCTACAGCCCTATTACGTTATTTTCAAGTCCGCCTAAGGAAGAAGGTAAGAAACGTGCAGAAAAATCTACAACGCAAATTACAAGAAGTGGCGATAACACCATTAAGGAGCAGGTTATTGAAACGTCAGAAATAATCAATGGAGAATTGCAACACCTTACAACGCATGTAACAACGACAACCGATCCTCAAGGTCATGTGACATATCAAATTAACGAGAGTAAACGTGTTTCTGCTAGAGACCGTTCAGATGAATTAGAATCCTCTGAGAATCTGGGAGATATTCAAGAACCAAGTTTCTTGGACACCACGCCATTAACACCAATGGAACGCCCTAGACCAAGAGACATCATTGAAAGGGTGCGTAGACAAGTCAAGGAAAGCTATAGACCGGAAGTACCAACAGGTCACCTTGTAGAATTAAGAACACCTCCCCGTATGTTGTCTTTGCCAGATGAAGTGCCTGAAGAAGAACTGGTAGATTTCAGCTGCCCTGCATTTGAAAGAACTCCTACAAGAACTCCCGCGCGTTCGCCAACTAGATCCCCTGCAAGATCACCTGATGTTTCAATACCTCAGCTATTTTTAGCTACTCCTCCACCACCAACACCTCCTCTTCCTCCAGTATCACCACTTAGATATCGTATACCATCACCTGAAGGTCCAATTGTTATACCACCCCACCCGAAAGATCCCACGGATTTTAAAGCAATGTGTAGAAGGGCGAGAAAAATTAAACAGTTAATGGAACAAAATGAAGCAGAAGCACTTGCCGCACAAGAAGCGGAAGCGGCAGCTGCGGCTTTGGCTGCTGCAGAAGCTGCGAAGCCGAAGAAAAAAGAAAGAGTTCCAATATCGAGGTGGACTGCACCACCACCGAAAAAAACAGGGAAACGAAAAAAATTAGTAATGAGAAAACGTGGCGATGTTGTGGCAACAAAAACTCCAGGAAAGCCATCTGAGTTAGAAAAAACACAACATCAAATAGTAGAGGAAGATTTTGAATACCCTGCAGAACCGCCTCCATTACCAGAACACTATGCACAGGAAGTTGCTTTGGCAAGAAAATTAGCTGGTCTTAAAAATAGAACAGCAGCTTTGAATCCAAAAGTGGCGGCGAGAGAAGCAGCAAAAGCAGAGGCTGCTAGAAAAGCTCAAGAAGCTGAAGCTGCCAGACTTGCATTGCTAAATGCACATCCGCCATCACCTATTAGGGATTATGCCACAGCACTATCCAGAATGAAATCAATGAAAGAAAAGGGTATAGTTCCACAGGCTCAACCATCCCTCGCAGCGGCTGCATATTTGGAAGCTGTAAAAGGTGCAATGCAGTTACAACAAGAACAACAGCCTACAACTGAAATCCCAATCATACAAGAATCTCCAAAACGACGATATGCGAGAATTATGGCTGAGAGAGCAGCATTACCACCTATAATTTCCGAAAGTCCACCAAGAACACCTAAACTCGATGATATTCTCTATTCTCCTATTCGTTTTGTAAGTCCTCGAGCAGATGACAGCAAAATTGATTTAGCAGAACCAATGCAGGACTACCAATTTGATTTAGCTGCTTTTGAGAACTTAAAAGAGCTGGAGGAACTAGGTGAATTTGAGGAACCAAGCTTTATAGACGTTAGTCAATGTTCCCTTACGGAAGATCAGTATATGCCACTAACACCACCTCAAACACCACCGCCCGTAACTTCAGAGATAATCAGCAGAATACGTCAACAATATGAACAACAACAGGCTGCAATTTGTCCCGAAAGTCCGCCTTTAACACCGACAGCTTTAGATTTTCCCGAAGAATTACCAGAGGAAGACCTTTTCGAACTTAGTGCTCCATCATTTGCCAAATCACCATTTAAAGAAGAAAGACCTATCAGATCTCCAAATATATCAATACCACATTATTTTGAAGAATCACCACCTCCTACTAAAGCTATGACACCAGCATCAAAATCTATAAGTCCAAGTGTATCTAAATCGCACGAATCTGATATGACTCCAGAAGAAATCGATGTGGCAAGCCCTCCACTTTTAGGTGTTTGCCCAGGTATTCGTGTAAAAACACCGCAGGGACCAATTTTAATTCCATCACATCCCAAAGATCCTAACGATGTAGCCGCTATGATAAGAAGAGCACAACTTATCCATAAACTGCAGGCAAAAGAAGCTGCAGAAAAAGCAGCTACTATAAATGTAGCCAAAGTTAGAGTGCCAATATCGAGGAGAGTTCCAGCAAAACCACTACCAATAAAAGGAAGATTAACACGTAAATTGGTGCTGAAGAAGAAAGTTCCTGATGCAAAAGCCAAAGCAGTAGCGCCCCTCTCTCCCAAAGAATGTCCAACGGAGCCACCATCACTACCAGCCGAATATCTTGCAGAAGTAGCCAAATCTCGAATTATTGCAGGGCTTAAAAACAAAACAGCACTTCTTAATCCGAATGTTGCAGCTAGACAACAGGTAAAGATAGCTTTGGAAAAGGCAAAGGCTGACGCCCAGTTAACACGGACATCGCCCAAGGTGACACCTCCCCCTCCTAACTATGCATCTATAATGGAAAGAGCTGCCGCAATGAGAGCGGCAAAGGCAAAAATTCAACAGGGTCCTACTGCTCGAGAGCTAGCAAATAGACAAAACTTAATAAACCGCCAGCAAAGGCAAGAACGAAAGCGACTATTACTTGAACTAGAACGATTGCGAAAACAAGGTGTTGAAAAGTCAATAGAATTTGAACCAAAAACACCACCGCCTCTACGAGAACGATTTCAAGCGATAAAATCAAGAATTCCCACTGAAACACCGACTTCCTCAATGTATCCTTACAGTCCAGTCAAAACTCCAGACATTGTTGATTTACCACAATACCAACCGCTTGTCTTACCTCCAACACCTCCTTACCACTACCTAGAAAATGTAGACGTACCCGATATTGAAGATGTTTCAATGCCATTTGATGATTTCAATGATATTGATTATGAAATCGGCGATGCAGAAGATTTAGAGTTTCAATTAGCAGAAGCTGCAGCAGCTTATTCAGAATATGATGAAGACAATAATATTGCTGAACTAGAAGCGGCACAAGCCAAAGAATTGCAAGTAATTCAAAATGAGTTCGATATTGCAGAAAGAATAGATATGCTACAGCAGCAATTAACGGAATCTGGAAATAAATCATCATTAACTGATGCTGATGACCAAAATCAGTATGATATGGCTGAACGAATGGAAATGTTACAAGATCAATTATTGCAAACACCTAGAACTGAGACAGAAGTCCAAGAGCAATATGATATAGTCAAACGATTAGAAATGTTACAAAAACAGTTGTTACAAACACCAACGTCACATCAATCACCCAAGAAGAATGCCAGTAAAGGCTATGTTTGCGTAGATATGTCCCAGTTTGATGAAGAGGCTGAACAAGACATCTATGATGAAATGATGAATGATTTTGAAGCAATGGAAAGAGAATGCATGTAAATATTTGCAAAAATTATTGTTACATTTATGTATTATTTTTGGTAACTGTGATATAATTAGAAATATTTATAAAAAATAGCTGTAAAGAATATTATAATTTTATACAAATAAAAAATAGTAAACATTTTTCAAATTGCAGTTGTTTGTGATATTTATTGCTTAGGTTTATTAATTAAATGATTATATAATTGTTCGTATATTATCTTCAAACTTTTTTAAATGGGATTTCTTAATGACTATTAAGTAAATTAAGGGACCATTGTAATGACGCAGTTTTCTAAAGTATTCTATGGCTTGATTTTGCAAATCTTTAGGTTGTTCTTTAGATAAATAAATTGAAATTATTTCAGAAATATCATTTAAGTGCTTACCATCCAAATCAAGACATTCAATAAGATTAGGAAATGCTTCCAATAGTTTCAGCTGTAATTTATATTCTTGAGTTTGGCTGAAAACAGATTATATGAAAATGTTGACTAAATTTTGTGCTTAGAAAAATAATGCTTGTTTCCTAAATATTTAGTTCTTTTAGATATAATAAAATATTAAAGAGAACAGTTCAATAATAAATTTAATTATTTTTTAAAAGTCATAAATTATAAATACAGTAAAATAAACACTTACACGGTAATTGTTTCTTTGGCCGAATGTACTGCTGCTTGTTGCAGGAAATTCTTAAGGAATGGCATGACATCACTGTAAGTAAGAAAGGAAGAAATTCACAATCGGTTGTGATTTTTTGCTAATAATAATATTGATTTCAACAACTTACTCTAAACTTCTTTTTGTGATAAAATCTTTAGCATTGGTGGCCAAAATTTCTAACAATGAAAAGCAACGATTTAACACTAAAGCATTTTTCTGTCGAAATTTCTCTACTAGTGGTGACCAAGTTGAGTGTATTAAGGGTAGAAACTCATTATCATAGTCACGCAATAATGGTATGCCGCATGTTAAACATTCCAATGATAAAATTTGTAATTGCAAATCGGATGAAGTTAAAAATTTTATAACTTGCTGTAATATTGTTTTAATCATTATAATATGTCTTGGTAATTGTGGATCATTATCGACTACATTATATTCTTCTGCATTGTTATCAGAACTTTGTTTAGTATTTGAATTGCTAGATGATTTCATAGTCACATCCTGTTCATAATCACAAAATGTTTTAGGAGTATTTAAAATTTCAAGCCAGGAATTCAATAAATCATTTTCATTATCAAGATCATCGTCGACATACATGGTTTGTCCATCTTTAATTTCGAAATTACATGATAACAGCCACGAGGTTAGATGTTTCAAAAATGCATTAAATACTTTCAAATAAGAAATTACATTATGTGTTTGATATTGTTTAGAGCATTCGTTATAAATGGTCTCAAAAATTACTTCCAAATGAGGCAGATTATTCCGAGAAGAAAATTGTAAAACTACCGTAAGAATATCTACAGCTGATTTACTTTCGGGTGTCTTTAATAAAGAAAAAAATAAATAAATGAAATGTTGTTTATTGCAGTTAATATTTGTATAGAAACTAACCTTTTTCAATAACATATTCAAATGATAAGTAATATAATCAATATGACCCTCTATTAATTGTATCGCTTTATTAAACCTAAGAGCATTTTGTATTGATACTAACGCAAAATTAGCGGCTTTGTATACCATAGAATTGCTATGAGCTTAAAATAGTTAAAATATATTATTGATATGTATAAATTATTTTGGATTCAGAATGAACTTACCAAGCTTTAATAAAACTTTGTGTAATGTTTGAAAAATGTAACCATCAAACCTCTCTCCCACATACAATGCACAGTGACCCAAACAATCAAGCACAATACAGGTATGTAATACATTAAATTCTGCATCATTGATAGTGACTTTTTGTTGTTTTTGGATTAAATCTTGCAAAAGAAATATATTATATAATATTCGTGAAAACATAAGTTTTATTATCTAAATTTATATTTAGTAAATACTATTTATTTACACTTCATTAAAAATTAGATTTTAACAATTTCTTACCTTCAGTTACCGTTTCATCATCCGAATCACAATCTTGGGTTCTTATTTCAACAGCAGATTCGTAAAGACCTGGAGTACGATCAATGAACCAATCTGTATGCTAGTTATAGTTTTTCAAAAATTAAGCCGAATTTGTTAAAAAAAAAACGATTGACATACATGTTATAGTTTTAATGTGTTTGTGTAAGATTTCAGTATTTTGACTTAAAATTAATTTCACTAACCTACTTACCCTATTCACTTTAAGTTGTGTTAATCTATCCGGTTCTAAGGACAAATGCCAATGCTTATCATCTAATAATTCATCGAGTAATTGCTTGACCAAATTCAAATCTTTACATTGAAATTGTTTATTCATTTCTCTAGCTGTGGCCAACCATAATAATATTAAAAGAATTTCATTCATAGCCTCATTTTGCTGCTGCAACATTTCCAAAAGATAGTCGACTATAATGCGATTTAATACCGGTGTTTTACCCAAAACACAACAGATTTCGTGTAAGCACTTGACGCTACGCTCAGAGTTTAAATTTTTAAATTTACGCCAAGGAAACTTGCTACTTTCTAAATAATCACCTTCTACATCCATTTCCCGCAACGAATACTCTTCTATTAGTAATTCAGAGGTTGTTTGCAAGTCTAAGGCCGATAATAAACACATACAAAATATTTCCAAATTATGGGGAATTGACAGTAAGAATTGTAATTTTTTGGAACTTAAGGATTTGAGGAATCCTTTAAGAAAAGTAAATTCTGTATACTGTTCCGTATCATCACAACGTGCTATAATTCTTGGTAGTTTTGTTAGATGTTCATCCAACAGTAGTTCAGAATTTTCATCAAATATTCCTTCATTACTGTGATTATTTTGCAACTTATCTACACATTTACAGCAAATATTACGTATATGTACATCTTCATCTTCAGTGAGAGCTACAACAGTTTCCAGCATGAACACAAAGTTCTCCTTAAGATTGTGCGAGCATGTTTCCATAAGCAGACAACACATTTCGGCATATTCTTTGCGTATTTTGGTTGAAGTATGCGATCTCAATTTACTTGTTTGCGTAAAAATGATGCGCAATTTTTTCGAAGTAGCTTGTATCCACTGTTGAGTACGTCCATCGCCTTGTAATTGTTTCATACGCTGTTCTAACTGTTCGCGATTCTTCTTAATAGCGAGCACATCATTATCATTGGTGTCATTAGTATAGGATAGACTTTCATTGAGTAATCTCTTAAATGCGCCGGCATCATATTTTGCATGTATTAGATTTTCTGTAGTTTCTTCGTAAATAACACACAATATACGACCTAAAGCTTTGATAGAAGACTTTAAAAAGGAAAATTATTAAAATTAAGTTATTAATTTGAGACAGCCGAAATATACTCACAATCTTAATAGTTTCTCCTATTGTTTCATCTCCTATAGCAATTTGATATAAGACAGTAACAATTTTTGGTAAGAAAATAAATATTGTATTGGCAACTTGATTTCGCAAAACAACATCCATACGATCTGCCTCATCATGCACATAAAATACGATCATTAAACATTCCAAAGAAGACAGACTAAATGATAGATTTTTTGTAGATATTAATTAATTTAATTTAAGAACTAAAAATGCATCCGAGAATGAAAGTCATTTTTATTGGCTCTAATTAGTCTTACAGGTACTGACTTCTTTAGACTAGCTTTCTGACTATCTTTTTGTTATCTGTGGGGTGACTATTGATTTCCTCCTAGAACAAGCACATTTTAAAATAGCTAGTGAACTAAATAGTCGGTGGTTAGGAGTAACCCTAAGTGGTAATATAATTAGCTAGTTAGTTATAGACCCAGCAAAAAAATTTTGAAGTTGTTCAAGAAGAAGGGATATTTTTACGATTTTTACGATTAAATGCATGCCCAAATTCTAATAAATATGTCATAAGTGAAGGCATGAAAAAATATGCCCAATTCACTCATGTAACTCCACTATAGGAATTGTAATATTTTACTATAATTTTGTATTCTCTTAGAATTAAATGAAAACTTGCATTCTATACAATAAATAAAAAATAACATTAATTTTTTATTAGATTTTTGTTAAAATTAGCAAAAAAAAATTAATTTTAATATTAATAATTAAATCGAAATCCAATTATTAATGCATTTTTAAATAAATATAATGCACCAATGAAAATTCGCTTGAGAATCATCGAATGTTCATTGGTTGTAAGCACTAATTTTAATGCCGAACTATTTTTCCAAATACGAACGAATTATCTAAAAATACTTTGAGAATATGCTTTTAAAGAAGTCTTAGAGAATCTTGAAACGGAAAAAGTATTTATAAAAATAAATTATATTGGACCGACTTTACACCAGTGATTTTTTTAAAAAAGTCTCTTGGGTTTAGGTGCATACAGGTCCAATACTTATGGCCACTACAAATATCAGCTCAAACACCCTCCAAACACCACTATTATAACATTTCTAAATCTTACTGATTTCTGGATATTTTCGATATATCCCTTAAAGCTTACATCAACTTCTTGTATTTTTCTCTTTCCACGAACTCAACTAAAGTCAACAATATTTGTCCCAATATCATGGCAGATTCCTTAGTATAAAATTGCTCCAATACATCTGATGTCGAACGCCTAAAACATTCCGCTATACATTGGACACTGGCCAATTTGATTTCTTCGCTTAAATTTGCTTTGGTAGTTGCTTTATCACATTCACGCACTTGTTTAAGTACCACCACAAGCATAGTTCGTAGGGCAGTCAATTCCTTTAAATATACTTTTGAAGTAACCAATGTAATACATTGCAAACAACCCGTTCGTAAATCCTGGTTATCGCTGAAAGTAAATTCAACGATATTAAATATTAAGTTAAACCTTAATTGTTTTCTACTTACTTGCTTAACTCTTCCAGTTTTAAAACTAAAGGCACTAGTATTTGTATATTAAATATACTCATGTGTATCCAGTTGAATTGGGCCAATTCGTTTTCCAATTTATTTAAATTTTGTTTGGTAGCATTTCTTAAGAATGCATCCATGGCTGGTTTAATTCTTAAAACAAATGGTTCTAAAGAAGCCATTGTTATTAAATATGAATTCTCTTTTTAATTACTTTACTTTTTGCTGCAAAAATAGAAATAAAATTATTTGTAACCAAAACCCGGCAAAAAACTAATAACAATAATCAATGCCAAAGCGAATTTAATTATAATGATTGTACAAACATATGTGTGTATATTCGCCGGTATCAGCTGCAGAGATGAACGCGTGAATGTTTTTTGATTTACGATAGTTTGGATAATTACTTCTCACAATCAAAAAATGTTCTTATAAATCGACGTGAATTAAGTTACTTCTTATTATTCAACAAAAAATTATTAATCTTGTACATGTTTCAAAAACCAAAACACCTGCAAACAAATGTATTTACAAATGTATGTATGTATATGTATGAATATACATTTCCACACTTTCTTTTTCTATTATTATTACTATTATTCGTAAACAAATCCAAGGCAAAATCTGTCTGCGTTTGTGCTATCAGTTCATGGACCATTGCAATTGAAGTATTTTATTTTTGTTTTGATTATAAAACTTGTATTTATTTCCATCATCAATGTCCGTGACCAAATATTTAAATCGTACTTTAAATGATAAAACCAGAGAAATTATGAAACGCGCCTGTCAATTAAAGCCCTTGGAGCCTGAGCATCAAGTGATTCACCTACAATCAGGGATAAATATAGTAGGTCGTAGTAAAGAAACTGGTATTCGAGATACAAAATGCTCAAAACAACAACTGGAATTGAAGGTGGATTTGGATTCGGCCAATATAAAGTTAAAAGTATTAGGATTAAATCCTTGTGGTGTAAATGGTTTAATGGCGCTGCAACACACTGAATGTGAACTACAACATGGAGATATATTGGAGGTGGTTTATGGTCGACATCCATTTGAGGTAGTTTTTAAGCCTGCTCCAGAAATGGTAACAAGTAAGGAAAAAGAACAAGTAGAAAACCCAGCAGAAGTGCTGGATAACCAACAAATAATCGAAGAATCTATGGCAGACTCTTGGGATTCAGTGGAAAATGGTAAAATGTTAATTTTTACCAGTAAAGGAGTTACGGCTTCGGAGAAAATCGCTTCCTACGACATAGATGGTACCATAATTAAAACTAAATCGGGTAATGTATTTCCCAAGACAAGTGATGATTGGATGTTAAACTACCCCGAAATACCTAAAAAATTAAAATCTCTCAAAGAAGATGGCTTTAAAATATGTTTCTTTACAAATCAGGGTGGCATTGCGAAAGGTAAAGTTAATGTTAACGAATTCAAGGAAAAGATCAAGCAAATTATTGCCAAATTACAAGTTCCTATACAAGTATTTGTTGCTACCGCAGATGGTTATTATCGTAAACCATTACCGGGCATGTGGGAACATTTGGAAAAGGAAAAAAATCAAAATATTAAAATTAAACGTGAGCAAAGCTTTTATGTGGGTGATGCTGCTGGCCGGCCCAAAGTTGGTAAGGGTGTAAATAAACGACGAAAAGATCATTCCTTAGCCGATAGGTCATATGCAAAAAATCTTGGAGTTCCCTTTTATACACCAGAAGAACATTTCTTGGGTGTGAAACAAGAGGAATGGATAAGACTTGAATTTGATCCAATGGTAGAAAACACAGATTTGCCGCTACTAGAGCCCACAGATGCTAAAATACCATCTGATGAATGTGAAATGATTATCATGATGGGGCTACCAGGATCAGGTAAGACATGTTAAAATCCAAAAAAAGTTTTTTTATCTTTAAGGCATGTGTAAATTCATATTAAATTTAATTAATTTATCATTAAATCATAATATAACTATAATAATGGTTGTATCATGTCATTAAATAATATTTTAAATCATTTTAGTTTTAGCTCTTTAGAATTCTTTTTTAAGGCGAAAATTATTTTGATTTTGCAATTTATTTTTTCTTCATTTAGGAAAATCACATTTCGTTCAAAACCACTTAGCGCCGCTTGGTTATACTGTAGCAAATGCCGATACTGTGGGTAGCACTCAATTCTGTCTAAAAATATGCGAGAAATCGTTAGTGTCCAATAAACCATGTGTTGTAGATAATACAAATGTTGATGTTGATTCGCGTAAAAAATTCATTGAGCTTGCTAAAAAATATAAAATCAAATGTCGGTGTTTCATGATGAATGTTTCGGTTGCACAAGTTAAACACAACATAGCTTTTCGACAATTAACCGATAACAAACATTCCAAAATAAACGATATGGTTTTTAACATGATGAAAAAAAAGTATACCGTTCCCACATTAACAGAAGGTTTTGCAGAAATTGTAAAGGTTAATTTAAAACCAGAATTTGAACGTGCTGATTGGAAACGTTTATATAAATTATATTTGGTGGAAAAATAATAAATATAAAAATTTTAATCGAGATTTGTTTTAATAAAAGAATAAATTTAAAAAAAATGGAAATGTTTTCAACAAATGTTAATGTTTTTAACGAGTGTAAACTCCATTCAGTCTAGAGTGAAAATACGCTTAGCTATGTCATCTATTAGCCAGTCCACTGCACTTAGTAGCTTCTCTCCAGTGACAGCACTAACACCTACAACTAACCAATGATGAGTGGTAATATTATCCAATTGTAGTATCTAGAAAATAAAACTTCATTAAAATCTCCTGCAATAAGCTAAATATGTATTCCTTACCTCTTTGATTTCATTGGCGGTTAAAGCTCCCGGTAAATCTTGTTTATTTGCTAATACAAGCAAAGTGGCTCCGGCCAGTCTTTCTTCTTGCAATAAAATTTCCAATTCCTGTTTACAGGTCTCCAAACGCATGCGATCCGCACAGTCTACCACCCACACTAGACCATCAGTACATTCAAAGTAATTACGCCAATATGAACGTAATGAACGTTGGCCACCTACATCCCACATATTTAGGGTGTAACCATTATGCTCCAAAGTTTTTATATTAAAACCCAATGTTGGTGATATGGTATCAATTGGTTCTCCATTAAATCTTTTTAATATTGTAGTTTTACCGGCATTGTCCAAACCTCTGGTAGGTGAAAAAACACAATGGATGAATCATACATTCGATTCGTTCCTTTGAAAAGTTAAACTATGTAATTGTTAATATTCTACTTACAACAGTAATATACGCATTTCCTTTTCTTTTTGTCTCATTTTCTTTAAAACTGTTAGAAACCCCATGATATTGTGTAAAATTTATTACTTTATGTTAATTTATTACGTCCGTCCAGTTAGCAACGAAAGATAGCAACGGCAGAGAAAATTTTGGGAATTAAGTGGCAACACCACAGGGGAAAATAAATTGCTTAGCTAATAAAAAATACCATGGAAAACTCAATGGAAAGAGATGGGAAACACAAAATGGAATCGAGATTATATATAGTCTTGGAACTATAGTTCCTTGTAAAATTAGATTCCTCTAAAAATCGTTGCTGGTGAACTGTAATCGTTGCTGGTGAACTGTATAGGATCTAGCGAGTGTCGCGCCAAAAACTCTTTGGAATATGTTAGGAGACATGGTAAGGATTGAAAAAATCCTTCCGTGCAAAAAATCGGTAGAGCAGATCCTTGGAAAATTGGCTTCTTCCAAAATGGTCAGTAAAATCGTTGCTGGTGAACTGTATAGGATCTAGCGAGTGTCGCGCCAAAAACTCTTTGGAATATGTTAGGAGACATGGTAAGGATTGAAAAAATCCTTCCGTGCAAAAAATCGGTAGAGCAGATCCTTGGAAAATTGGCTTCCTCCAAAATGGTCAGTAAAATCGTTGCTGGTAAACTGTATAGGATCTAGCGAGTGTCGCGCCAAAAACTCTTTGGAATATGTTAGGAGACATGGTAAGGATTGAAAAAATCCTTCCGTGCAAAAAATCGGTAGAGCAAATCCTTGGAAAATTGGCTTCCTCCAAAATGGTCAGTAAAATCGTTGCTGGTAAACTATGTAGGATCTAGCGAGTGTCGCGCCAAAAACTCCTTGGATTATGGTAGGAGACATGGTAAGGATTGAAAAAATCCTTCCGTGCAAAAAATCGGTAGAGCAAATCCTTGGAAAATTGGCTTCCTCCAAAATGGTCAGTAAAATCGTTGCTGGTGAACTGTATAGGATCTAGCGAGTGTCGCGCCAAAAACTCTTTGGAATATGTTAGGAGACATGGTAAGGATTGAAAAAATCCTTCCGTGCAAAAAATCGGTAGAGCAGATCCTTGAAAAATTGGCTTCTTCCAAAATGGTCAGTAAAATCGTTGCTGGTGAACTGTATAGGATCTAGCGAGTGTCGCGCCAAAAACTCCTTGGATTATGGTAGGAGACATGGTAAGGATTGAAAAAATCCTTCCGTGCAAAAAATCGGTAGAGCAGATCCTTGGAAAATTGGCTTCTTCCAAAATGGTCAGTAAAATCGTTGCTAATGAACTGTATAGGATCTAGCGAGTGTCGCGCCAAAAACTCCTTGGATTATGGTAGGAGACATGGTAAAGATTGAAAAAATCCTTCCGTGCAAAAAATCGGTAGAGTAGATCCTTGGAAAATTGGCTTCATCCAAAATGGTCAGTAAAATCGTTGCTGGTGAACTGTATAGGATCTAAGGAGTGTCGCGCCAAAAACTCCTTGGAATATGGTAGGAGACATGGTAAGGATTAAAAAATCCTTCCTAGAAAAAAGTCGGTAGAGTAGATCCTTGGAAAATTGGCTTCCTCCAAAATGGTCAGTAAAATCGTTGCTGGTGAACTGTATAGGATCTAGCGAGTGTCGCGCCAAAAACTCCTTGGAATCTGGTAGGAGACATGGTAAGGATTGAAAAAATCCTTCCGTGCAAAAAATCGGTAGAGCAGATCCTTGGAAAATTGGCTTCATCCAAAATGGTCAGTAAAATCGTTGCTGGTGAACTGTATAGGATCTAGCGAGTGTCGCGCCAAAAACTCTTTGGAATGTGGTAGGAGACATGGTAAGGATTGAAAAAATCCTTCCGTGCAAAAAATCGGTAGAGCAGATCCTTGGAAAATTGGCTTCATCCAAAATGGTCAGTAAAATCGTTGCTGGTGAACTTTATAGGATCTAGCGAGTGTCGCTCCAAAAACTCTTTGGAATATGGTAGGAGACATGGTAAGGATTGAAAAAATCCTTCCGTGCAAAAAATCGGTAGAGCAGATCCTTGGAAAATTGGCTTCATCCAAAATGGTCAGTAAAATCGTTGCTGGTGAACTTTATAGGATCTGGCGAGTGTCGCGCCAAAAACTCCTTGGATTATGGTAGGAGACATGGTAAGGATTGAAAAAATCCTTCCGTGCAAAAAATCGGTAGAGCAGATCCTTGGAAAATTGGCTTCATCCAAAATGGTCAGTAAAATCGTTGCTGGTGAACTGTATAGGATCTAGCGAGTGTCGCGCCAAAAACTCCTTGGAATCTGGTAGGAGACATGGTAAGGATTGAAAAAATCCTTCCGTGCAAAAAATCGGTAGAGCAGATCCTTGGAAAATTGGCTTCATCCAAAATGGTCAGTAAAATCGTTGCTGGTGAACTGTATAGGATCTAGCGAGTGTCGCGCCAAAAACTCCATGGAATATGGTAGGAGACATGGTAAGGATTGAAAAAATCCTTCCGTGCAAAAAATCGGTAGAGCAGATCCTTGGAAAATTGGCTTCATCCAAAATGGTCAGTAAAATCGTTGCTGGTGAACTGTATAGGATCTAGCGAGTGTCGCTCCAAAAACTCTTTGGAATATGGTAGGAGACATGGTAAGGATTGAAAAAATCCTTCCGTGCAAAAAATCGGTAGAGCAGATCCTTGGAAAATTGGCTTCATCCAAAATGGTCAGTAAAATCGTTGCTGGTGAACTTTATAGGATCTGGCGAGTGTCGCGCCAAAAACTCCTTGGATTATGGTAGGAGACATGGTAAGGATTGAAAAAATCCTTCCGTGCAAAAAATCGGTAGAGCAGATCCTTGGAAAATTGGCTTCATCCAAAATGGTCAGTAAAATCGTTGCTGGTGAACTGTATAGGATCTAGCGAGTGTCGCGCCAAAAACTCTTTGGAATATGGTAGGAGACATGGTAAGGATTGAAAAAATCCTTCCGTGCAAAAAATCGGTAGAGCAGATCCTTGGAAAATTGGCTTCATCCAAAATGGTCAGTAAAATCGTTGCTGGTGAACTTTATAGGATCTAGCGAGTGTCGCGCCAAAAACTCCTTGGATTATGGTAGGAGACATGGTAAGGATTGAAAAAATCCTTACGTGCAAAAAATCGGTAGAGCAGATCCTTGGAAAATTGGCTTCTTCCAAAATGGTCAGTAAAATCGTTGCTGGTGAACTGTATAGGATCTAGCGAGTGTCGCGCCAAAAACTCTTTGGAATATGTTAGGAGACATGGTAGGGATTGAAAAAATCCTTACGTGCAAAAAATCGGTAGAGCAGATCCTTGGAAAATTGGCTTCTTCCAAAATGGTCAGTAAAATCGTTGCTGGTGAACTGTATAGGATCTAGCGAGTGTCGCGCCAAAAACTCTTTGGAATATGGTAGGAGACATGGTAAGGATTGAAAAAATCCTTCCGTGCAAAAAATCGGTAGAGCAGATCCTTGGAAAATTGGCTTCCTCCAAAATGGTCAGTAAAATCGTTGCTGGTGAACTATATAGGATCGGTAGAGCAGATCCTTGGAAAATTGGCTTCCTCCAAAATGGTCAGTAAAATCGTTGCTGGTGAACTATATAGGATCTAGCGAGTGTCGCGCCAAAAACTCCTTGGATTATGGTAGGAGACATGGTAAGGATTGAAAAAATCCTTCCGTGCAAAAAATCGGTAGAGCAGATCCTTGGAAAATTGGCTTCATCCAAAATGGTCAGTAAAATCGTTGCTGGTAAACTATATAGGATCTAGCGAGTGTCACGCCAAAAACTCCTTGGATTATGGTAGGAGACATGGTAAGGATTGAAAAAATCCTTTCGTGCAAAAAATCGGTAGAGCAAATCCTTGGAAAATTGGCTTCCTCCAAAATGGTCAGTAAAATCGTTGCTGGTAAACTGTATAGGATCTAGCGAGTGTCGCGCCAAAAACTCTTTGGAATATGGTAGGAGACATGGTAAGGATTGAAAAAATCCTTCCGTGCAAAAAATCGGTAGAGCAGATCCTTGGAAAATTGGCCTCCTCCAAAATGGTCAGTAAAATCGTTGCTGGTAAACTATGTAGGATCTAGCGAGTGTCGCGCCAAAAACTCCTTGGATTATGGTAGGAGACATGGTAAGGATTGAAAAAATCCTTTCGTGCAAAAAATCGGTAGAGCAAATCCTTGGAAAATTGGCTTCCTCCAAAATGGTCAGTAAAATCGTTGCTGGTAAACTGTATAGGATCTAGCGAGTGTCGCGCCAAAAACTCTTTGGAATATGGTAGGAGACATGGTAAGGATTGAAAAAATCCTTCCGTGCAAAAAATCGGTAGAGCAGATCCTTGGAAAATTGGCTTCATCCAAAATGGTCAGTAAAATCGTTGCTGGTGAACTGTATAGGATCTAGCGAGTGTCGCGCCAAAAACTCTTTGGAATGTGGTAGGAGACATGGTAAGGATTGAAAAAATCCTTCCGTGCAAAAAATCGGTAGAGCAGATCCTTGGAAAATTGGCTTCATCCAAAATGGTCAGTAAAATCGTTGCTGGTGAACTTTATAGGATCTAGCGAGTGTCGCGCCAAAAACTCTTTGGAATATGGTAGGAGACATGGTAAGGATTGAAAAAATCCTTCCGTGCAAAAAATCGGTAGAGCAGATCCTTGGAAAATTGGCTTCATCCAAAATGGTCAGTAAAATCGTTGCTGGTGAACTTTATAGGATCTGGCGAGTGTCGCGCCAAAAACTCCTTGGATTATGGTAGGAGACATGGTAAGGATTGAAAAAATCCTTCCGTGCAAAAAATCGGTAGAGCAGATCCTTGGAAAATTGGCTTCATCCAAAATGGTCAGTAAAATCGTTGCTGGTGAACTGTATAGGATCTAGCGAGTGTCGCGCCAAAAACTCCATGGAATATGGTAGGAGACATGGTAAGGATTGAAAAAATCCTTCCGTGCAAAAAATCGGTAGAGCAGATCCTTGGAAAATTGGCTTCATCCAAAATGGTCAGTAAAATCGTTGCTGGTGAACTGTATAGGATCTAGCGAGTGTCGCTCCAAAAACTCTTTGGAATATGGTAGGAGACATGGTAAGGATTGAAAAAATCCTTCCGTGCAAAAAATCGGT